GTAAATCTAATTGAAATAAATTGGATAGTTGGAAAAAATGATGAATATGAAAAAAAAAATATATATATATATATATATATATATTAAGATTTAGAATTTTTTTTTGAATGCTAGATAAAGGCATATGCAAAAATCAAAAGAAAATTAAGAGATGTAGTAATTACTATGAAAAATAAAAAATAATACTTAATTGGTGCATTGGTAGTTATAAAATCACATTGTCAATTTTTATTGGACATAATTACAAGTTGTTCAACTCTTGATATTGGTATATTAAAGTGGATAGCATATATCAAATCTGTGAATTCAAAATTTAAGTACATTGCAAAAAAAGATAATTTAGTTGCAGATATATTATCAATACAAAGATATTATAATAAAGGAGATATGATTGATTTGAAAGATAATGTATGTAATTTTTTTATTTTAATGCATTATCAATAAATAAATAAATAAAAATGTGCATTTGAATAAATCATTGGAATTATTTTTAAGAGATTTATATAAAGATGAATGAAGAGATGTTACAGAGTATTTAAGCATATTAAAGTGATAAAAGAATTGAATAGATCAAGAATTTAAAAAAAAAAAAACTTATAAAAAGGCCTATAGATATATTTTAGATGACATATATTAATGAAATCATTTAAAAAAGAAAGGAGAAGTACCACAAGAAGTAATGTGTGGTTTAAAAGCTCAACAAAAATTTATCAAGAAATGCCATGAAAGTTTGTGGATAAAGAAGTATAGAAAAATTTAGACAACTTTTATTAAATTAAAGGACAATTATTGATAGAAAGGCATGTACAAAGATGTAATTGAAATTATAGGATCATATGAAATTTGTCAATTTTATTCTAATATTTGGCATTGAGATGGATTACACCCAATATATCTTTTAGTACTTTATTATGAGTGGGTGGTTGATTTAAATGCAACAACTATGAGACTTGGAGAAATAAAAAATTTGATACTTGCACAATATTGTGGCAAGAGAATCTTACCTAATGAAAATATTGCACTTTTGGTTGCAACTAATTATTCTATATTAAATTCAATAAATATGCTGTTATAATGCAAATTCTTATAATATATAAAAATTATTTTAAGTCCATAAAATACTTTAGATTTTTAATATATATTTTATTTATTAAATAAAAATAAAAATATAATTATATTTAAAAAACTAATTAATTAAATAATAAATTGAAATAAAGGTTAATAGGAATTTTTTAATAAATACATAAATAATTATGTGAATTTTAATAGTAAAAAGTTGTATGCCATAATTTTGTTAAAATTAAAGTTTTATAAAAGAGAATTAGGATCTAGAATATTCAATTATCAGAGTAACTATTTAAGATAAAAATTAGTGGGCATATTTTTAATATGTTTATAAATAGGTGTATAAATTTTGATAAAAAATAGAATTATAATTTGTAAAAAATAGATATTTAAAAAATAAGAAGAAGTCAGACAACAACCTTATGGAGAGAAGTCATGAGGCTTTAGACGATAAATAGTAGCTAGGAACTTGCAATGAGAAATAGATGATAAGGCGCTTGGATAGCACCTAAGAGGTCCTGAATTTAAAATCTTTTGGTGCAGGGAGGGGATTTTTTTTTAATATTTTATTAATATATTGAATATATCCAAAGAATTGGCTCTAAAATACTTATATTAAAGGATTATGTTGGATGATAAGGGCACTTGTCACTAATAGACAAGAGAAAGGAATCTCTTTAAATAATAGCATAATATGTGACACCTATGCTTTTTATACAATTGCCCTCTTAATAGATTAGTAAATAATTTTCCTGAAAAGAAGAAGCTACAACTTCGTAGTAATTAAAGTGTAATAGGATAAATCTTTTAAAATCTTTAATCCACCTTTTATTAAATCAAATAAAACTTTTAAATAGACTAAAGATTTAAGGTTTAGGATTTAGGATTTAGGATTAGGATAGGATTTAGGATTTTAGAAAGTAGCATCTTTTTTTGAAGAAGATATAAGGATGCTCAAAGAAGGTTTTGCTCTTTGGTATTTGTTTTATGAACTTATAATACATAATTTGTTGATAGTGTTGTATTCTATGAAGTTTGCTTAAGATTGAACCAAGTACTTGGCTGTAGAAAGAAAAATAGAAATTGTAATAACAAGATCCTAATAACTCTAATAAAAACTTAAATAAACTTTAATTAAATCTTAACAATGCTAATCAAATTTTAATCAAATTAAAAAGAAGTCTTAAAGAAATTACAAAAGAATAAAAAATAATAAAAAAACCCGTAAATTAATTTTTAGTGTATATATATATATATATATATATATATATATATAATAAAAATATCTTAAAAAATAATAAAATGTAAATCTAAAAAAATATCAAATAAATCTTAAATAAATATTAAAAATAGAAATATTTAATGAATCTTAATCAAAACTTAATATAATTCTAATAAAATTCTAAACAAATTTTAATTAAATCCTAAATCTTAAAACAAGTTCTACTCAAATTTTAAATCAAATTATAAATCCTAAACCAAAACCTAATCAAATATTAACCAAATTCTAAATCCTAAATTTTAATCAAATCCTAATCAAATTCTAAATCCTAGATCCTAAACCAAATTCTAAATCAAATTCTAATCAAATCCTAAAATAAATTCTACTCAAATCTTTATTAAATTATAAAATAAATTTTATTCAAATCTTAATTAAATCCTAAAATTAATTCTAATAAAATACTAATAAAAATAAATTTTAATCAAATCATAATCAAATCCTAAATCCTAAATTAATTCCTAATAAAATCCTAATTGAACCTTAAATCTTCAATAAATTTTTAATCAATCTTATAGAAAATTAAAACCTTAATAATTAATAATCTAACTATTGATTTTAAGTCAAAATTTGTATATGTCTCAATTAGTAAGTTTAAAATAAACAAAAGGAATTTTTAAAAAGATGAAACTTACCAAATAAAAGATAGATTCTAAAATCTATTTGGATGTTGACTAGCCTCCTTTTACAATCTTAGTACCAATATTCCAACACTAATATCTCTAAATTACACCATTTAATTGGTTTCAACTTTGCAAAGTTGTTTCAAATCAAATTAACTATTGTTTTATAAGTTTTTAATTCAATCTAATTAGCTGATTGCTGTATAACTTAGAAATCCTTACTAGTCTTCTAAACTCCAATTTTTGATATTCTAATATGTTTAATTTTTAAAAACCTTTAAAAATTTATTAAATCAAGTTCAAACTTATAAATAAAATTTAACATAATATTAATGATATAATAATAAAAAAAAATCACCCATAGATCATTTACCAATCTTAAAAAATAATTCCAAAATATAAACTCTTTGTATCTCTCAAAATCCAAAGTTACCTCTAAAACAACTCTTACTTTGCAAAGCCTTTGCAAAGTCAATACAAACTCAAATCACTTGAAATTAATGCCTAAAGAACATTTCACAAGTTTTCTCTCAAAATCCACTCTTTGATCAATCAAAGACTCTTGAATTATTGTAGATATGTGGTTTTATGTCTTGGGATTTGATTTCAACCCAAGTTCATAATCAATCCTCTTTGATTATGAATTCTTGGTTTTTTTAGATAATTTTTGCTAAATACTACTCTTAAATTCTTTCTAAAGATTTCTATATCAATTATGTTTCTTATGCATGTTGATTTGCCTCATTTTTAGCCTTTCAAAGTAAATATATATTTTTTAAAAAAAATCAATATTAATACTTAATAATTTTTACTACCTACTTATCTATTATCTATGTGTTTAAGATGACTTTCTATAATGTTTTTAATTAAGCTCCTCTATAATATAATATTTCTTTTAATTTTTTCATCTAATTGCTATGTTATAATACAACAACAAATTCAAGAACAAAAAAAATTTAGGGAGGATTTAGATTTTATTAGATGTTGTTTGTTTTTTTTGAAAGTATTAAGGAGAAGATGGAGAAAATAGTTGCATCTGGAGGTCAAATGCTTTCTTAAAGAATGATTCTTTCTCCATAACACAATCACCAAGAGTGCACTAAAGCCCCTATATTACTCTATTCTTGTGACTGCCATTTCAATGCAACTTCTTACAATATATAAAAATTAGCTTACGACCATAAAATACTTTAGTTTCTTAATATGTATTTTATTTATTGAATAAAAAGTTAAAGAGAAAATTAGAGTTTACAAAAAAAATTATTAAGTAATAAATTAAAATAAAGGTTAAAAAATATTTTTAGTAAGTATATAAATATTTGTGTGATTTTTAGTACTAAGAAGTGTCATAGTTTTGTTGAAATAAAGTTTTCTAAAAGGGAATTAGAATCCAGTATAACTAATTACTAGTATGTTTATTGAAGATGAAGGCAATTACCCTTAAATCATTTTTTTCCCCTTTTTTTTGGATCATTATATTATATTTGAACGCAATGTATAATTTTTTTAAAAAATAATTTTAATTTAATTTTGTGCACTATATATATATATATATATATATATATTTTTTTTTTATTTAATAAAAAATTCTAATACTACCTAAAATATGTATGAGTTGCAAGAATTCTTCTGAAACAAAAGTATCATGTACATCCATCAATAAATAAATAAATAAATAAATAATAAAATGAAATAAAATGTTTGAAGCAAGAGTGAAGGTTGGGAAGAGGGATTGAGATGCAGACCGTGAGCAAACTTCAGCACACATGCGAATGCAGATCAATCTACAAACCTCCAACCTGCCAGGCCTCCAACCTCCCACCCTTCAAAGCTGCCAGTTCCCCTACGTTCCCTCACTCCGTTCCCAGAATTTGATCAGCGGTTGAGATTGCATATGATCCGCAACTGCGATCCAACGGCCCAAGATGGCGGATGCAATCGATTGGAGAAGGAGTTTCTGCAACACAATTCTACGAAGGTGGGAGGGTGTGACCGACAAGGGAAAGCTGTTGGAAGCAGCACAGTCACGACCAAGTCTTTTGTCACTGAAGGCGCCTTTCTCGTGTGCCTCCTCCTCTTGCTTCGTTGAGTGCCCAACAGCAACACAACTTGCTTTCCCCGTACTGTTGAATGACTGTGGCTAGCTAGACATCCAGCCCCGAATCCCTGCTAGATTCCTCCACGACCAGCAAGCAGTTGTATCTGGTCCTTGTACCCACTAATCATCTCTTTAGAAAAGTGTGTGTGTGTGTGTTAGTCATGGTTTTGCACAGATTAGTGAAGCACTAGGAGTCTTTTCATCTGTCCGGGGTTTGTCTTGATAGAGATGGCGTGTCTCCGCAGCAATGCGCAGTCTTCGATGGCGAAGGTATCGTTGTGAAGCGGCAGGAGACGATGAAACAGGTAATCGTAGTTGTGGAAGCGAGAAGTTTGTGGTGAGGATTGAATTCACAGGTCTAGTTTTGCCCGACCAGGTTGCTGGATCTCCCGAGCAGGAGCTTTTCAGTGTTCTCCCAGTGGGCTAGAGCTCCCCTGGGGTGATCAACTGTGGCACCGTGGTCTTACCATTGTGGAGCATCCTCTTCTCAGGACCGACGAAGCTTTCACGGCGATAAGCGAGGACGTTTGAGATTAGGTGATCGAGTTGGATAGCCATGGGGAACATACTCCGGCGATGTTGTGGGGACTCTCCGACGTCGGAAGGACATTATGGAGGAGGGCAGTATCCATACCCAGGTCAATATGGTCCACCTCAAGGTCACCCTGGTGCCTATTTCGGCCCTCCGGCTGGTTCTGCCGACACAGCTGGGTTTACTGCTCTTGCTCGAGATTTGCTCCAATTCGAGATTACAAACAAGGTTTTGTACTTTCCATTGAAGTTTTGATGAATGTTTCCGATTTTGGATACCTGCGTCTTTCACGTAGTTCACAGCAATTAGTGATCTCCTAGGCCGTTTGGGAAGAGCATGAAACCAAATTAACGTCGTGGTATCTCATGTGCCGCGTAGGTGCCAGAGGAATTGAGCCAGTTTGTGACAGCAACTAAAGCCACGCAGGTCACCTGGTGAGTCTGAAGCAGCCCGAAACCAAGCTTCGAAGCACTGGGTTTTTACTCTATGTAAATTGGACTGTGTAATGTCGCATGAATCGATCAATCCGATCGTTCAACATACAAGAGTTGAGTTCAGGTGTTTGGAAGATTCTACTAAAAGTCCTAACACAAGCTTTGTAATAGCCTGTTCTCAGGTATCGCAAACTTTTGGTTGCTTGGAAAAATGCAAGGCCACCCCCATCAAGTGCCGAAGAGGCCTCATCACTGCTACTCCGGACGCTTCAAGGCCACCACAACGTCCATGTCCAGGTGCCAATAGCTTAGCTTTTAAGAAAATGTTCCAAAGCGATTGCTCCCGGATTAGCCAGTGCTTTTTTCCAGTTTACGAAGAGTTTTTAGCCTCGCAGCGGAGGCTTATTCGAGTTAAAGCTTTTCTTTTTGTAAAGATTAATTCTGATGACGCAGATGTATAAATCTAAAATATAGCAGAACTGGTGAACTCTGTATTGAATTTCATGAATGCTGACAATTGCAGGGTTTATTACGATTCTACGGACTCCCTGGTTCTAAACCTGGCGCCCCGGAAGTGGTGCCTAGTAAACCTCCTCCCGTAGCTTTCGTAGCTGGTGGAGATTGGCCACAAGGTGTACAGTATGAAATCCACACTTTGCCGGTAAGCTCGCATCAACCGTGTTCCATGCTCAGGATTAGTGTGATGCATTGAAACTTTTAATCTTTCGGGTATGGTTCCTACATTTTGAGCAGAGTTCATTGATACAAAATGTTTAGTCTACTTGTAGTATTAAGGTTACTATTCTCCGCAACATTGGCCTTACCTGAACCAACTGGGATATGTAAAAATTAGGTTGAAGACCGAGCAGTGGCAGATGGCGACACTATCACTGTGTTTGTGGATGTAAACAAAGATAAGAGAGAGGCGGCCAATGTTCCCAAGGGAGTAATGGATGCTGTGAGTAGGAGACGAACTGCTCGGGCTCAGCACGACTATGCCACTGCCGATGCTTTGCAGAAAGAAATCAAGCAAGCAGGCTACAAGTTTGTCCTTACCCCTCTAAGCTTCAATCAAAAACTTTGTACATATGCTGAAGGGGCTGTTACTTCGTGCAAGGCTGAGATTTACAGATGGCTTTCGGTGGTCCTTGCAGGGTGATTGATGCACCGAACGGCGGGGTTCAGTGTTTGGCCAAAAAGCTTCGTGTGCGCTTGAAGTAAGAAGCTCCTTTCACCACGCTATCAATCTTTTTTTAACAGCATTGCCTCTACAATGCTATGTAAGATCATAATGTGAAAGTTCATAATCTGTATATGTTGTTTTGTTTTACGACAGAGGTGTGGATGCACCGGAGAGCAGCCAACCATATGGGCAGCAAGCCAAGGCGATCTTTAATGGTATTGTGCTGGGTCACCCGCTTCTGGTTCATGTGTATACAGTTGACCAATACGGGAGGCTAGTTGGAGACATCCACTGCAACGGCATCTTCATTCAGGCATCTACATTCACAAACCCCCTTATTTTATGTTGTGCGGCTTATGCAAAGCTGATATTAAGTTTGCATGAACTACCTCGTTACGCACTTCCTTGAACGGGGAAAAGAAGACGGATACAAATTCCTAGACCAACGCAAAATATTCTGCCAACGTATATGTCGTGTTTTAGTGTTGTATTGTTACCTAGGTGTGTGCGGTCAGTGATGCAACTACAACACCTGACTTGTGCAGTGTTGTTATTTGTTTGATGCAACTAACAACTCTGACACATTACTACAAAGTCATTGTGGATCTACTTTGCGTGAGAACACGAACATAAGAAATCTGAAATATCATGTGATTAACCTTTTTTGGTGGGGTTTTCGAATGGGATTTTACCAGGAAGCGCTTCTGAAGAAGGGGTGTGTGTGGCATTACACACAATACGACAAGCGGCCAACTTTTGCACAGGTATGCATTTCATTCATTCATTTCCCACAAACCTGAACACGTCTTCCAATTCATAACTTTAAAGTCACAGGTTATGGAGGGGTGACAACAGCTGCTCCAAACACGAATCCGTTGTATGTAGACGGCTCTCAGGACTATCTTACAACCCAAGGTTTTATTTATTGTCAGTGACTGATTCCGGGTGGTGTGGATGAGCAGTGGGAGAGGGAGGCAAAAGCTGCTCGTGTTGGTTTATGGGCAGTAGTGAACCCAGAGAAACCTTGGGAGTACAGGAAAGATAAGCGAGATGCAAGGAGGAATTAGAGCATCAGTGACCACCCCCTAGATATCATTCCACTTGGTGCACTTCACAAACTCCTCGGCAGTATTCTGTGGAGCTGTGCGACGATTAAACGGCTCTGCACACCACGTTGAATCTAGGATTGCAGTTTCATGCAACACTTCCTGCATCGCCTGTGTTGTTGTCCACAGCGTTGTTGCTTTCCGAGGGGTCTTGGGATAATTGGATTGATCGAATCCTGTGTTCAATGTTCGGCAGGATTCAAAACACACGCTCAGATGATTCATATATGCTTCAGCTCAAACGTGTTGCCCTCATGGCTGGCGTGACTTAATAGGAACCTAGTATTTTGCCAATTATCATGTTGTGTACAAGGCAGCTGTGTGCATCGGTTTGGTCGTATTATAATCGTGGTTGGGTTTCTATTCCTTGCTCTTGCAAAAATTGAAGTTGGTGATTCTTGCTTTTTTTTGTGTTATTTTGAAACATATTCTGAAATAGTTTTTTATCTTTTATATTTGGCTTGAGTATGAAATAAAATACCAATTGATTGGAATTTTATTATTGTGTTTTGGTTTCTTGGGGATTATCTAAATACCAAATCTCAAAATTGAAACTTGGAAATGCAATAAAATTTGGAGATTTTATTAAAACACTTTTTACTTTATCTTAAGTTTGAATTTAGGATTCTTTTTAGGATTTATTCTAAAAAATAGGGGGTTTTGAAATTTTGTAGTTTCTTAAAGTCACATTGTGGTGGGGCTTTAAAACGCCAATTATCATTTTGTGTTGATGGGGCTTTTGAACGTTTTCATCAGTTTTATATTTCAATACAAATTGGGCATTTAATCCTCAAAAATGCATCAATAAATATTTACCAAAAACTTTTAGTTGTAAATAACATTGCTTTATGTTACTTACTTCAGTTTGTTTAATATTTATATAGTATGCATGTAAAACACTTGTAACAATACAATTATAAATACTTAATACAATTTTTTTTAATATATTATGTCAAGTACCTCTTTAATTTCACATTTTTTATTTCTTCTAACATAATTTATAAATTTTGAAAATATTTTGAAAAAACATACATAAAAAATTAAGAAATAAATCAAAAATTTAAAATAAAATAAAATAACTTAAGAAATATAAGAATTTTTTTACTCTAATGTCATGCTTTTAAACCCTCATATTTTTTCAAAAGTCTACATAAATAATGATATTTTTTTAAAATTACATAACAATCATCAACAGTTGATTAAAATAGTGTAATTAATACAAAGTGTCAATCTCAACTTGATTTCTTTGATTAAATAATTTTAAATTAAATTAAGTACCACTAACACATGTTTAGCTACACTAACTATGATTCAACACATATATTTATTAGTTTTTAAAGTCTTTACTACATAACGTACTATAATTACTCAGGAACTCTTACTGTTGTTATTCTTTGAGTAATCAAGATTGGCATGAAATCTTCCATTATATACATATATAAATAAATAAATAAATAAAGGTTAAAAACATCTCTCACGATCACTTTCCTTATATTGGATGCGACATATATATATATATATATAGATATATCGGTTAATTTGAGTATTATTAAAATTATTGTTAAACATTTGAAGCACATTTCTAAGTATCTTCATTATACATTTCAACAACGTTGCAAGTAGTCGCTACATGTGACTAAATGCAGACATCGCACCATGTAACAAGAACAATACTAACCTCCAGTTAAATGAACATTCATATAATCAAGTGAGGATAATCAAGGAACTGAGTGTTGCACAAATATTGAAATGCCATACGCAAGCTTTATACAAAAATGCAAACCAAGACCAGAAGCAATAGACATTTCAGACTCTCACACGTCATTTGTAAACAATAAATAAATAAATAAATACTCAAAACTCTTTTGCAACCATACAATAGTAATGGTTGCTCTCAATCCATGTAAGTACATGCCCTTAACCAGAAAGCCTTTGATAACAACCAACAGCCCTGGAAATCACTATTCTAACTATAATACACGGTACAAACTGCCCAATAGAAACTCCATGAGCCTCAAGGATCAGCAGTCATTTAGAATGGAACAATCTGATAATCAATTCAATGAGTGAAGCATGAGAAATGGTCCAAGATGTCTTTATCAATTTATGCTTCACTCCACTTTTGTATACTCCATCAACATATACGGTGCACGATAAATTTTTACAATCGTCCAAAATAGCCCTTCCTCTAGCTCAAGCTCGCCTTCAGCCCGAGCTGCATAAATATCCTCACATATTGCTACTAATCTGCATTCAAGACATTGCAAAACCAATCAAATTTAGAGCATGCTTAAATTGATACTGCTCCAAACATCCATAACATGGCCAGAATTTGCTACAAGACAAACATTCACAACATAACCTAGCATAGATTTCGACTGGAGCATAAATCGAAAATTATTTGATCAGGATTAAAGCATAAAGAAGCAAGAGGGTAGTTTGAGACATCACAACTTATGAGGAGTCGCCAATACCTATCGCAAGCAGGGAAATTTTCATAAGGTATGCGCATTCTGATGTCTGAGCATTGCAAACGTATGAACCGTCCCACAGCCAATACAAATGTTATGTACAAACTCCAAATACTAAACTTACTCAAAGTTTCTCCTAATAGTCCCTCTGCGCACAGCAATACAAAACCAGAAAAATTGTTAATTATCGTACCACCTGTTTCAAAAGAGCAGTAATTTTGTTATATCTCCACGCTTACCTTCTTTATCACTATTGAACAGGAAAAGACATGGACACATAATATTTCCTAGAACAATGAAAATAGCCACAGATTCGTATTTAAAATTGTATCAAGTGTAACCATGAGAGAAATACCACTGAAAGATGAAAGAGAGACATTAAGTTACTTATTTTCTACAATCCACAGGAGCTAAAATAAGATTTTCAATATTAAAAATATAGCTACGTTCGACTGTCAGGCTTTGCTATAATTTCAAATGAATTCACATCCGATTCTACGTGAATAGTCTATGAACCGTTACACATACACATGATACCTATCACGCTTGCTTAGAGATAATGGTTGAGATTGTTACTTGGTGGTACTTCTTCGGATACAACGTACGCAATTGGGCCCAACATCTTGCCACATCCGTCATCTGGGGAGGGGTTCTCTCTCAAAAACGACCACCACGCTTGACCTTGCTCCTTGTTGAGCGTCAAATTTCCTGACACCCTTAAACTCTGCACAGCATAGGATGTATGAAAATCAGTTGTTGGTCAATCTCTAATTCGATAGACACTCCTTCACTAAATTTCGAATGATAGAAAATTATTGTATCTTTGTAAATTCAGTACAAAAGGCTGAAACTGCTGCCAACAAGTAAAGCGGCGTCTAGGCGAATTAAAATCAGTAGACAAAGAAAATATGAATATTAGGGCATTCAGAACAAGTCCTAAACACAGAGAAGACAGGAAATGAAATGAAAAGCTCTTAAATGAAACCATAGTCATAAAAATAGCATACCTCAGTTTCCAGAGCGCGCACTTCACCAGACCCAGGTACTCGAAAGTAGAGAGGATAAAGTTTGGCGATATTGACAGACGCAAGAGTACCATTCAAAACGGCTCTCAATTGACTACCACCTCCAAATAAGTCCTCATCGACGCTAGTGACATCTTCTGACCACAAGGCAAGCTCCTTCCCCTTTGGGCGCTCACGATTAAATTGCCACCATGCGTAGAACGACAGATCCCCATCATGAATGGACTTTATAAGATTTTGTAGAGTGCTAGGAGGAATTTGCCAAAGTGCCGCGGCATCAGGTTCACAACAAACAATCTGAATGTCTCGAATATCATAGGCAGACAGCGTCGATAGAGCATCTTTTGGAGGACTTTCCAGATTAAAAATGTGGCAGAGGCCAGTTTCATAAAGCGGAAACTTCCCTCCAACTGTCTTCACCTCAATACCTCCCCGTACATCATTGACAGGATTTGCCATGTTCGTAGGGTTTCCATTGCTGTATATCTGCAGACCGAAGCAAGTCACCATTTCCAAGTAACGAATTAGCAACTAAGGTTTTCTCAGCATATGGTAGCTACACTTAAGCATAGGACGGGTAACCTTTAAAAAGAGCATTTCGCATACGGTCCATCAATGTGAGGCAAGGGTTTTAATCAATATGTCGATAGGTCTGCGTAAGAAACAGCCCTAAAATAGTGATTGGTAATCGTGAGCGACCAAAGATTGGACGCGCTTTATACCAAAAAAAGAAAATAAATATGATGAAGGCAAGTGATTTTTGCCTGGTCTTGAGACTAGATTATGTAAACCTAAATGCTATGCTAAAGCATCTAACTGACATCATTGATAGGAAGGTGTAGTAAGCATGAGCATACCAACATAGGTGCCCAGATGACACCAATGAGGACACAGAAGAGGAGAATGCCGCTGCAAAATTTGATCCACACTCCTTGCTTTTGCCCAAGTAGATGTCTAGCCCGAACCAATTTGACATCGCACTGCACCAGGAATAAACTCCCGTATATATCTTCTAGCTGCAGCAACACCACAACATGCAACAAACATTAAATTCAGATTTGAATTTAGTAATGGATACCATCTCTAGCCAGTCCAACATGCCCTAAACATGATACGGAAGCGCACCTCTACAGCCTCCTAAACAACAATATATGTTGCCATTCTCAGAAAAGTACCTTAAGCCAATCATACATATTAAGAGCAGTTGTGGTGCATGACCAGTCAAGCACACAACGAAGCTCAAAGAGAAAGGGCACTGCACGATAAAAACGATACCCACACCAGCTCAGCGCATTCACACGTCGTGCCAAGAATTGCCCATAGAGAGCACTCTTATGAGGTAAGCCATACTTGATCTGCGATGCTTGCAAAGCTAATGATAAACCCTTCATCAAGTAGAAAAGGCGGAGAGGAAGGAGCTGGAGAAAATAATTTGGGGACTCAGGTTGTATAGTAGCTTCAATCTCCCAAACCACTTTTGACGCATAAGTCGTATACAGGACCAGGCTGAAGAAATACGATAACATCTTGCCGGTTGCAAATGAACAAAGATAAAGCACCCGGTCTGCAACTATCATGAAAAAGAGCGTCTGTATTCAAAGCCAGTTATATAATTAGAGACTACAACCAGAGGATGTCATTCTGTTCTAAGCTTGTCAGTAACATGGACTCTAAATTGCAACACGTTTCGTTATTACTGCGGCTTGTCCCTTAAGGCCGCACTCGACATCCTGGAAGTAGTGACCAGTTCAAGGGAAGAGATCCGTACCATGAGCACAATAATAAAATCCTTGGGAAACTGGTCTTCAACTCGTGTCACATCGAGGAGCTTTGGACTATGCTTCACAAAAGACTGATACACAAGGGCAACAAATAAAAAAGCAAGTAAATCTGTGCCAAAAATGTAGGCATATAAATCCACCTCGCGCTTGCCTCCTGGTATGACAGATAGTATAGGATAGGGGAAACTAGCTGTTTCCACATAACCTTGTTCTTTGGCTTTTAGGAGTTCGGCAGCTACATCTGCTGCGGGTGTGAGGGACGAGTATTGGGCACTTCTAGCTGACCGCAGTTTTGGAGCAGCATGGATGACCTCAAGCACAGCCAGTGCAGTGTTCGGTTTGTCAGGACTATTTTCAATACTCTCGACACGTACTCGACTGCAAGTCAATTCATCAATAGGAACTTCATCGTCAAGCGGAGACGACCGGACTGATGCGAGTAATCGATTGCAAGCAGATTCAATTCGTTCAGGTTGAATTCCCGCTTCTGGCCACTTATCAACTGCCATAGAGACTTGTACAAAGTGAGGAGGTGCTTCAGCCCCACTTGATAGCGCTTGCCAATACATTGACAAACCTCGAACCAGTCGCCAGAAAAAGCCTGTTACCCCATAGACAGATTTCCACAGAGCTTCACTCAAGGTGGCTTTGTGCGGCAACTGCATTTGTCCCTCTGAATCTCGTAGTCTTCGGTTTGAGAAGAAGGTACTTCTCTCATTAACAAACATCCATTCTCCATCTTGAGCTTTAATTGAACTTTGCATAAGTGTGGCTAAGTATACCAAGAAGAGCGGAAGAACACTGACGACGAAGGAGTGGGGGCCTAGGGACCCGGGAATCCCTATTTTCCGTAGCCATGAGGGTGGCGAAGCAACAAAGTCGCAATGCGTCGCTCGAATCTGATAGCAGTACTGAAGCAGAATGTTAAATTCAGTGTAGATAAGCATGGCCAGCCAAAAATGCTGACTTGGGCCCGGGTTTACGAGTAAAGCGTAAAGGAACAGCGCTGCTGGAAAAACAAGGGTCAAGTAACTGAAATTCCAAACGTAAGCAAGGACAAAGAAAACGTAGCAAACAAAGGCAGTGTTTCCTCGAATCTGACACCAGGTGTAGTAGCTCAACATGGACAGCTGCGTCCATGTCTCCCTCCATCCCGTGCGATGAGTATTCTTCACAGCCGTTGTCGGTTCAGATCCTGCTGCTTCCTGCTTTTCGCTCTCAGCAACGTTTCTGTAGCTATCTTCCTCTCCAGACAATGGCTTCTCATTATCACTTTCTTTATCTATACTCAAGTATCCGACAAGATTCGCCAATGCCTTGTTGCCAATTGAGTGAACCTCGGCAACACCTTCTTCTAGAATGTGGACACCAGACATAAGTCCAGGGATTGGGCCCTTCCAACTTTTCTCGGGACGTCGATCACTCTCCATGCTCCGCGCCGTGGGAAGCTGCATGCAGCTCATATCCATTCCTGAAATTGTATTTTTGATAATGGCAGAGTCTGTGATGGCATGTTTAAGTTTTCTCTCATCACGACCTTCCGCCGGCCATTCCATCCTCGCGACCAAATTATGTCGTCGTCTCATGTGTGTGCTGCTCCTCCGTCTAACGTCAACATGTTCTTCATCACTTAAGTCGCTCAATAAGTCAGACTGGCTAACGTGTTCTCTTTGGATTTTTTTAGATGGAGACTTGGAGGCAAAGTTAAGTCCACGCTTGGACCGAGATTCTGGTCTTCTGGCATCTGCAAATTCAGTTGCAATCCGCTCAATGGAACGTGGAGTATTGTAATTAGGTTTAGGACTCTTAAATGGTGAGGGCGAGGGTCCACAACTATCCAACTCAACCGATGGAGCTCCTACTTCAGGAGCTTCCGGGTGCAGTTGCATGTGAAGCATGTCAAACTTCATCTTCTCAACCTGTTTTCTTCGCCGTTGTTTGTGCTCTTCCACTTTGCGTATACGTTGAAGTTGCTCTTTCTTCCATGCTGCCTTGTCTTCCTGCAATTGAGAAGATACCATTCATGTACCCGACACACGATTTCAACAAAAGATGTCGTCTGGTGATGCACACTGTAACAATAGCACGATACCAACTAGTCTACTTCAAAAGGACGTATATATATTGATACTAAGAAAATGATGCACAAATACTAGACGTCCTCCAACATCAGATGAGTACGGCAGTCGAATACTTTTACAAACCAATGAAATATATGTTTACAGAGTCAGTGATGAGAAAACTTTCCAACAAAATTTTAAGAGTAAGAATCACCTGAGCACGTGCACGTGCTTCTACTTGCTGTGCTTCCATGTAGCGTAATACTTGCTCAAATTCACGGGACCGAAATATATGCGATTGAAGACCAACGAGACAGAAGATCGTAATGTCGACAATTGCGGACCGCTCTGTGATTCGAAATCCATAGTCATACTTGTACAACCCTACAATGTTATACAAACCAAGAGGAAGTGTGCACGCCTGAGCGCTCAAATAGCTAAAGTACGGAGCTTGGTAAGCCAGTGATGCAACTATGAGAATGAAATTGTAAAGACGTAGAGTCCACAAGATAGAATTGCGTCGAATCATGATAGTGTCCCACATCCTGAAGAATACGAGCGCAAATGCGAGGTAACCCAAATGTAACACGTCGTATTGTAATGTCCCAGTAATAAAAACTAGTATTAGGACTACCAGAAAGAGGTTATGGTAAAAGAAAAAGCGAAGATGGTCCAGCCAGGTCCATTGAGCTGTCGTTTCATAAGAAATCTCTTTCCATGCCAATCGGTCGCTTGCTGGAATTATGGCTGCGTAAAAAGTGCGTGTGTCTAAACTCCCTGCTGACATATTAGCACGAAGCTGGAGACATGCTATCAAAAATACCATAAAATTAGCGACCAAAATTTGGGCGTCATCAATCGCCAAGCCTGCATACATAGACGACGACAAACTATAAGAAGCAAATAAACATATGAGACTCTTCAAATATAGAACTTCAAAAACTTAGTTTATTAAATTCAGTGATTGTTGATACTGCTCATGCACATCCATCAATTAGCAGCAAACAATAAAAATTAAAAATTGTCCATTCAGAAAATGCTGATGGGTGGTGAAACAGAAGACCTCCTAAGTCTTAACGCTAACAGCAAAATTGTCCTCAAAAATCTCTCAAGCCAGAAACAGAGCTTTCAAAATCACAATTGAAGGAAAGGGAATTGACACTAGCCAACAACAACAGTCACAAGCTATAGACCAACACCAATCCTTATTATCGAAGAGTAAACCCAAAATAACTATATCAATGAATCCAGAAAAAAACACAGACAACAGCAAATGCAGATGGCAAAATCTGGTTACGTCTTACCAAGCCAACATTTCCAGCAGTATGAGAAACGTCCAGTGTAACTTCGAAGACAATCTGCACAACGCACAGACGAATTTGTTCCAAGCATTGGATCCGAAGCATTCCATGAAGGAGGGACTTTACATAGTACGACGTACTCAACCACCAGAATAAGTCCGAACAGTACCACAAAAATGGGCCATATTTTCCGCAAGATCTGTTTGTTGAGAAGGATACAAAGTGCAAGGATGAAGACATAAACCAGCGACACCACATTGAGTAGTGAAAAACTGCCCACCAATAAGGCAATCATAGAAAGCTCAAGACCGTAGAGCTGGAAAAAATGTTCTATGATGTGCTTGATGTAAATGTTCAATGTCCGCACTTGCGCCTCATAACGATCATGTTTCTGAAGAAGCATTGCTCTCTTTGACCATTGCCGACTTTCACAACCTCTGCCTTTCATATTTTTGGAGGAACCACGGTCTTCGCTTAGAGTGTGTCGCGATAGAGTCTGTGGTACAAATCTGCTTGCATTGTCACAAGATTGAACAGTGGAATTGCTAGAATTTTCTGCTGGTACGGAAGCACTTTGAGACAAGCTTATATCCTCAGGAAAAGATTCTTGAGAGCTTACAGTTTCAGACGATGAGGGTTCTACAGATGAGCGCAAAAAATTGCGGCTTCTACGAGGATATGGAAGGAACAGCAAACACGGTTCCTCGTATGGTTCATCCACACGTAAAGAGGCCGGCAGTAGCTCAAGCCAACTAAGTGTTGCACTCTGTAGGACGCATGCCGCCAAAACTAATGCTTTACTTCTCATTCCTGCTTCTGTAGCCCAAAAGCCACTACCATATAATCTGAACCCCAACCAAAAGGCAAATTCTCCATGCGTTTGGCCCAGCACCATCTCCTCTTTCTCACTCCACAGCTGGAAGAGATACTCAAGTACTATCAATACAGCAGTATATTGAGCATAAACTTTTGCTGGAAGGCGAGCGGTCTTAGACATATTGCAAGTAAAGACAAGCATCACGAGATATAAGAACCCAATAGGGCTAACAGGAGTGATAGTCACATAAAATACCGCCATAGATAATATTTTGCCGCTGTGAAGAATCAGGAGGCGTTTCATGAATCCAATGAACCCGTAGGTAACGTTAATGTGATCACCAGGCTGCTCGGGATCCTCTAAACTACACTCTTTCTGAGCTCGTTCGTTTCGGAAAAGTTGCATGACAATTAGAATCGTCAAACAATCCCAAAGATTTCCAAATATCGATCTGTCACAGTGAAATCCTAAGCCCCGTACAAGGGGAACGTAATCGTCAACCACAGACTGGGTGCCTGGAAATGCACTCAAGATGTAGCGAACAATGAAAACAATTCCTGAAAATATCATTAAGGGTAACCAGAGCTGTTGCTCCGATTTTCCAATTATTTGCCGGCCTATCACCCAACACAGAAGGAAGAATAGGTAGCCAAAAGAAACATAACTTTGTGATACGCCGTAGATCAAGCACAGGATTGTGGTGTAGGCAATATACGTTCCAAACATGCGATATACAAAACGAAGACGCTCTGCGAATGCTGCAAGCCTCTTTGTTATCCAATTCGCTAAATAACGGTCATCACAAGCCACAGCAATTTTGTACAAATTTGAGTACTTCCCAAAGTGCCAATCAAATGATGACAAAGAACACGTTAAAGCAGCACAACAGGAAATAAAATATGTACTCTTCATTCACCCTTCGTACCATAATGTCTAAACCTAGTCTATTGTGTACATCGCATACGATTAGCAAACGAAATCCGGCACCGCAAAAGCATGATACAAATTTATAGTAACATGCAACCAGAACGAATGCAGTCTTAGCAGAACGGCTCAAAATAAGTCTCATACCCTGAGTTGCGGCCTCTTGCTGAAGATTTTCGACAGTGTCATTAGTGTAAACTGATAGAAGAATAGCACGTCCATTCTTCCTGTGCAGCACACTCCAACCAAGTGGGGCATGTGGACTCCGTTGCACCGTAGTAGACAAAAAGCTCAATACATTCAATCCATGATTTTGCATAGCTGAAAAGAGAAGCAGAGCTCCAATAACCAGAAAGTCTTCGAACGTTGCTTTCTCCCATATCCCTGCACGATATATACATGTCAGTTTGACAAACCATAATAAGTCCCCCCCAATGAAAAGTAGCCAGTCTAGGTGGATGTTAAAGTTATCGGAGTATCGCACCTATAAAAGAAAGTACAGGCCGAATTGTTGCTTCTTTATTTTTGAGTTCTGAAGAAATCCAATCCAGTCGCAACAAGTAAAGCACTGCCACGTGCACCTCGCATAATAGAATCAAATATTGCCTGGTTCGCCTTCCAATTGACGATCGCACCAAGTAGACCATGAAGAAAGCCACTACAAAACAAATAACCAGAATACCGATGTTCATGCATCAGGACAAAGAAAATCAGGAAACAGTCACAAGCAATCGACTTTTGCAGAAGCACATAACCTGGAGGGCAGACATCTACCCTGAGAAAATTAATGTGAAAAAAAGATAAAAAAACAAACAAACAAACAAATAAATAAATAAAAACGAAAAAAGCATAGAATTACACGAAGCGCAAGCGACCACCAAGAGGATATTTTGAGGTAAAAAGTCAAGGTGGTTACTGTATATTGCATGGAGCAAACCATCCTTCATCCCCACGGCAAAAATTAAGAGCAGTGATATGATATCAGCACTTTGACGCAAACACCACGCTATTACTGCTAGCGCCAAAACCTTCGTATCTTCTGTATCTGTTACTAAATCGAACAACATGAAAACACAAACATAAGAGAGCGCTATGACCACACTCTAAACAAGATCTTATGCTGCTTCGTGTAAAGAATGTGAAGGAAACATTTATTACGTCAAAACAGCAGGTAGGACAATGAAAGATAACTCAAGGTCTACAACATAGGGCTCAAAAACCGTAAGCTAGTTACACCATGCAGACAAGCACCTTGCTCCAAGTTCCGATTGGCCTCCTCGTTCTCGCCGCTTTCAACAAGATTGTTCACAATACTGTTGCTTGCAAATATTTCAGTAGCCACAAGAGCCCCAAGCACATATTGCGCAAAAATAAATAATCCTGGAGTAGAGTAGTGCCAAAGCCCGATTGTATGCCATATATCCAAATCCTGAAAGTCATAGAGGACTGTTATTTTGTGATGATTGTAGACGTCCATTGAGCAAAAAAAAGAAAAAAGGAAATAAAGGTTCATAAGCAAAGTCTCATTAATGAGCAGAAGACTGTACCATGTCAAATTCGATCTTCATGATTGTAAAGGCCGCATTGAAGAGGTACGTGCTAAGAGCCCAAGCTAATATGAAACCAAGTAATACGGGGCTAAGGCGGCGGAGAACGTGCACCGATGGGAGAGCGAAAAAAATGTAACCCACGTACAGTAGTAGCCCGAAGGCACATAGGCTGGCATGTGTAAAACTCCAGCAAACGAGCGCCACCATGCATATCTATTTAAGAATGTCAAGGCATTGATTTTCATCGTGTCAATGAAGTTGACATTAAGAGCTCTAAAAGACATAAAAACTACAACGTTGCATCTTAATCAAATGTGTTAAGACATCAACTACAAGTTTGAAGTACCAAAACTCCAGTTATTAATCAAGCTGCTAGATATCACGGCAAAAAATAATGCATTACCTAACAGAAGCTACTGAAGTAAAGTGGTAACAATAAAAGGAACTTCGTTAAAGTAGAGATAATTTTGGTGGGGTTACTTACTGGAAAGCCATACGTGAAGAGAGTGATAGTTGCACGCTGGAAAGTGATCACGCGCCTCTGATTGGCCGCCCATCTCCTTGAAGTTCTTTCAGGCAAATAAACAAGTTCAGCGTAAAAGCCAGAATTACATTTGCAAATCATGTACGCTAAAAGTGCAATTCTATCACAATAATACCGAAACATCTTCCACATAATGACCTGCTGTTAACTAAAGGACCAGCTGATATCCTGAAAAAAATGCATGAGCAAGTAACTTTTGGAGAAATTACATGGAATCTTCAAGCGACGCTGGTTGACGAGAAGGCAAGAGGTTTTCAGTTAACAAACCGTCCCCTGTGCAACAACTACTGAAGGAATGCCTGTTTCTGTTGAGTGTTTCCGAATATTTTTGCTCATCTTCCATATCACTCACACCATAGCACAACTGGCAACCACGCAGAGTGTGAGTACTGTTTGTGCAGAAACAAACAGTGATTCAAGTTCAAAGCGCGTGCCTACAAGCTATATTAAACTCAAAATATGCATGCATCGATTGAAGATGAAGTCAAAAAGAAATGAAGGTGCAAGATAAATCTTCCAGTCAACCTAGCGATTCAACCTAGACAAATCCAACAAGACTAGATTAGAAAGTGTGACGAGTCAAATTATAAGTAAAAAGATTACCAGGATGTACAAGGCGATTAAAGATACAACTTGACAAACTTCCGGCCATCCCAGCAGTTGACCTGATGCTTTGAACAAGCCCAAATAATCGGCAGCATCAGTAATACCTTGCGGTATTGAAAGTGGCAATTGATCCAAATATAGTGCCAGAATGTGCAATCCTGTATACAATATAAGTGGCCTCCACCCCCTGCGTTGAAATCAGCATGAGGAAAATCGGAACATTGTAAAAATAAAAAAAATACAAAAAGAGTTTACACTTAAACCAGCTATCCGGAAAATCAGAAACTCAGAAACCAACAAAACTTCTCGGTGTATTCATATGCACACGGGAATGTGTTAGATGACATGCAAAGCATAGCTACACCATAAACAGCGGAATTCGGCACAAAATCCAGCAGCACTTTTAGTCTAAACAATCCTCTGTGCAAACATTTGTAAGAGATTACATACCATGAGAGTCCAACAAAGTTGCTCGTCATTGCCCAGTGTAACAAACTCGCACAGCTGCAAACAAAATACGGTAAAGTGATCCATGACGGCCGAGCTACACCTACCAGCAACAACACCAAAGGAAGCACAAAGCTTCGCAACATGGCTCTAAACTCATTAACATCCTCGTCTGCCATGTCCCACAGTGATTCCAACAGTCAGAACCACGCCTACTAATGTTTTGGAAATCATTGCGTTTGTGAATGCGTGCGTGCGTGTGTGTGTGTGGACAACCATAACCACCAGACTATCTGAGCCGTAGTTTATGAAGACATTCACAACTATGACTTCCAGTTGCAATACTACATGGATAGTACACAGGCAGTAGCGAACAAATATTAATATAAAGGCCACTCCAACTGCTATTCATATAACTCCACGACTAAAAGTAAGCTGCCTAAAGAAACATACCCCAAAGTAACTCATGTGTCTGAACACTTGGGTCGAGTTTGTCTCGATACAGCGCACATGCAGCTATCATACCCACTGCAAGCTGAGGTAAAAGAAACCAAAATACACTAGCATCCTTGCCCTTGAGATTCAACCTGGACACATACAAACCGTCACGATGACTATTCAGTTCATCTCTCTTAGTTGAAATCTTCAATGCACACGTAGAGAAAGAAGGTCGCAATGGAACACATAAGAGTTTCATTCCCAAGGTGCCAAGAGTAATCATTCTGTTCCTCGATTGACTATGAGATGAAAACCATAAGTGGGGCTGGTGAAGCAGAACTCCTAGAAAACACCAATATTTTGCTCAGTGCAACTAGAATCTTCAGAATCACAGTTGGAAAGAGTTACAAAGCAGTAGAAGAGCTCTTGAAGCACACTTGAAGCCAGAATAACATCCGTAAAGACTGTCAAGTATCCAAAAGTAGTGCACAGAAGGTGTGCATACTACTGTTATGAGCTTGCCTGGTGAATCCCAAGAGCTTGAACCACTCATCCTCTGACACAGGACCATCATCTCCAAGAATGATCCATGTGACCATCACAAACACTTCTGTCATTATGACTAACCCAGACAGTACAATCAAAGGTATCCATATTCCCGGCCTTGGCTGTTGCACTGTTAAAAAACCAACATGTTAGCAAGCCAGCGTTTTAACAAGCGCAAAATGATTCTGGTACGTCCTCACTCGCAATAGTAAACACCTAACAGAGAAATATTCTCATGCAAGCAGATCACATTTTCAATACCAACATAAGATGGTTTCCACAATGCATCAACAAGATTAGGTGGAATTGAGTTCCATGATTATTATCTTTGCTTACAATTTTCATTAAGCTTCACAATTGTAGAGCTATCATGTGAATCTATTTCATGCATTCATGCTCTAACTTATTCCTCCTTTGAACCAACTCTTGTATCCTAATGATGACAGAAGATTACCCAAGATATGCGACACCATCTTACCTTGTTGCGCTGTTTTGAATTGCACAGCAAAGAATGCGAGAAGGAAACAGACGGAGCTCAAGTTCCAACCTCCAAAAGCAGCTTTAAATAAGACGAAGAACGCAATGTCAGTGATAATAAATTGCATAATTTCATCCAGGTCTTTCCCTAAACGCCATGACCTATTATACATCGCATGCGTTATTGCCACCGCATTTTGCAATAGAAAGACTTCAAATCGAGCTGAATCCTCATAAAATCCGAGCCATGTCTTAGTTGACAGTTAAGCCCAATATTTTTTCTGATTCTTAGGACAACTGGTTGCATAATGAAGGGCAAAATGGGCGCACCACATAATACAACGAATGGGGCCAAAGCCCGAATAGTTGAGGCCCGCATTCTGATCGGGACTAGTAACTTATAGACTCCAGAATGCTTCCCCTGGTCCCTTCATTTTAGATACCAGATCAGCTGGATAAAGTCCCTAGCGCTTAAAATCCCGATTATGAATTTCGAATTTGAGTCCTCCACTATGCATTAAATGCACTGCCGTGACGTCTGCATCAAGTGTTCGCCAGAAATAATACACCGAGTCAACTATGACCTATAGTGTCGCCTTCCATGCTTAATTCCGCAAAAAAAAATCCGAATGAAGCAACGCCTGCAAGTAGAGTCAACATGGATCCCTTCAACTCGTAATTTACAGTGCTTAAACGTTTATCGCCTGGCACCAAGCCTCACAAAACCCAATCCTGATGTTTCGTGCTCAAATGGACAGCCTGCAACGTAATACGGATAGAGTCCATCAGGTTTGCATGAAAAGAAAAGAAGAAAAAATGAATCTGAGGTGATTTTCTGCTCTCCTTTAAACAGTCTGCTGAATCACCATGCATGCGGGCAGATGGTTGCCGTTACAGTTTCTATCGAACATCACAATGCAATGAATTTCCATTATTTTTAAGAAGCCAAGCAGGAACAAAAAAAAAAAAAAAAAAAAAAAAAAAAAGAGAGAGAGAGAAAGAGAGAGAGAATCGGTATTCAGCGTAGAAGCAAGAAATCTGACCATGCACCGTTCTGTAAAAGCAGGAAAAGAAATATCAAATCAATTTAGCATCATGCGTATCACAACTCGTTGCTTGAAATCCCACAATCAATACAAGAAACATCTTGAACGACCAGACAGAAAATCTTGAGCTTAAAAACTAAGCGTTCCATGCAACAATTGAACCACAATTCAACACCACCAGGCACCGAACCAGTTTGAATCTAGCTCCGAGCAAGATTCACTCAAAAGACATGACCTCAGAAGCAGAAAGACCTCGAATCGCCGCAAATTTCAAAACATCAGAAAACTTTCGTCACGACATCATTGTACTTTTCGCACGATATTTTCCAAGCCCTTTCGTGAGCAAGACAGAGAGCACCCACTTCGCCCTTGCTTTCTCTTGGCACCCACTAAAACAAAAAAATTCAAAAATTCAAAGAAAACATCGCCTGAACCCCTCGCTATACCATCGAAACTCATCTCCGAAACCCAAACACCCGAGTCCCCAAAACCAGCATTCAGGCACAGAACCCAAACGAATTACCTTGGTGCAGAAGATCACACGGCCTCAAGCATACAAACCCATGCTCAGAGAGCTAATTCAGACCCAGCGCTGACCCAACAAGGCCTTACAAGCAAAGCATCCACGAAGCAAGCGCAGGAAACACGTACTATAGAGGGTGAGATTGACCCATGTGCTGAGGCAACACAGAGCGAGGAAACAGCTGCAGGGTAGTGGTGGAGGAGGAGGAGGGGCAGCATCGAATTGCAGCCAGAGCTTGCAAGACTGAGGAACCGCGCGCCAGAAAGCAGCAAAATCGTCAGTGGTGCAAGTGCAGGTGCAGGGCTGCAAGACGGGTACCGTCTGCAGCCGGTCATCCTCTTCCACGTGGATGCTCTCACGGTGTGGTAACCGGCTCCCCCTCCCTCCCCCACCGGCGGATTCTCCGGGTGAAAAAAAGAGGAGGAGGATCCGCTACGGTAAGGGGAAAAATGTGGAGTCGGTGTGCACATGTTATTATTTTTATTACTTAATAATTATACTATATATTTATACTTAAAATTACATCTTGCAAGATAATGTTTCATAATTTAAATTTTCAATAAAAGAACTTGGAATGGCTCACCAATTTCCTGAGAGCCTATATTGTAATTTCATCAAAATCTCAACATGTACTAGACTGTTAAAAAATCATATGAGAAATTAATATTATTTGATATCGACGTGTTTTCTTGAAATAATTGGTTGTAAAAAGGTTATACCTTGTCCTACTGATATTTGTTTGTACGAAGTTTTTTGAATCGATTAAATTTATTAAAAAAAACAAAAAACATGCACACAGACACACACACACACCTTTTTGTCTTTGGTGTATCAAAATTCTGTACAGTACACATGAATCACAAGTTTTATAATTTAAGTGCTTTATATTTCCATCAAAAGTGGAATTATTAAACAAATAATTTATTTCAAAAATAAAACAAAAAACAAAAATATTAAAAATGAATGGGTTTTTTTGAAAGGGCAAAATATCAAAGAGAAACCAAGTATACAAAAAATGTTCTTGTTTGTTGACCTTCTTTTTATGACATCAACTTTAGAAATAATAATTACTCATATAAGATGGTTTCATTACACCCCAATTAATCAACAGAATCCACAAGAAGTTCACAGATTTTGGGTATTCCAAGTCAGATATTTTTCACAACTTATCCAATATCACAACAATAATTCCAAAAAAAACATTAAATAAAAAAATCTAACTAACTAACTATCTAAACCCTACAAAAACTATTTTTGTCTTCAATGACACAAACATTGGCTAATTTCGTGTGCACGCATGAGCAAACACACACACACACAAATACACACAAACCACAAATAATTGCGAAATAATTGCAGCGGTTCCAAAAACCTCACATAAAATATATATATTAGGAATCCTCACAAGCATGAACAAAGGAACAAAAGAGAGCGAGTCAAATCTCCACATGGGTCAACTTCAACGTGGAACTCGTAGTTTCCAGGAAGGGGGATGCCTCTAAAGCAACGCAAGTCCAGGGCAAGCAAGACAAAAGGAGAGCGGGGAATAGACGAAAGCAAGTAAAGGAAGCTTCACTATGCACGCGGATGTGAGACTTCCCCCACCACCACGAACACTCTCCTCGAAGACCCCCCCCCCCCCCCCAACGCTCCCACTTGAAACATTGATCGATGCCGAGCCTGCTCTCGCACTCACTCGGGTGTGCCGAATTCTTTGGCTTTGGCTTTGGACTTCCTTCGTCTTTTCGTCTGCGATGCCGTTCATCTTCCACACCTGATCGCACCTAACCCATGGGCATTCACGCGTCAGAGGGAGCCCAACAGGAGGATTGCTGCTTTAGTAGTATATGACGGCTGGCGTCGCTTCTTCTGCTTCTGACGATACTCCTCGAGCGGGTGGGATTGGCGTTGATTGGATGGGTCGAAATAAGTCGCGGGAACCTGATGAATTTGTGAGACGTGGCCGCGGTGGTGGTGTTTTTCGTGGATTGAGGCGCCGGACCGGCTTCGTGACTGTTGAGAATGGTTCCAGTGCGGGGTTGTTAGTGGGACCTTGACGATGGCAATAATTTGAGGTGTTGTGCAGGTTAGTGGGATTTCGTTCTCAAGGTGTAGTTTGGTGTAGATCTCGTGTGTCGACGACTGGGTTTTGTGTGAATGGAGTGGGTTGTCGTTGTCTGTGGCATTGGGTGCAATAGAGTCGGTAACCAGGGGTTGGAGACCGTGTTCGGTATCCTGTGAGTGTGTATATATTGGTAGACTGGACAGCGGAAGGACGCAACTTTTGTCTCGCTCCGGTTCTACTTGTGAATGGTGGTGGTGGCAACTATCTTGCGCTCGGGACCTGATCGAAATAGCGAAGTTACATTTGTGTAGTGATCATTTTCAGCGTAAGTACCTCTAGAGTTGGTTGCCCAGGATTGAGACGTGCATTCACGAGGTTTCTAGGACTCCTCTACCTTAGAATTCTTTACTTTCACGCGGAGTTGAAGTCTAACCCGAAGACTTCAACTAATCCGGAATTGTTCCAAACTGAAAGACGGCGACCGATTGTAACAAAGTCAAGTAAGATAAAAGCAGCTTGCAAATATCTAAATTCAAGCGCCAGTTAATTCTGGAGTCGATCATAAAACGGATGTTACAGAAGCAATCGTAGACAGCGAGGTGAAAGATGGGTCGAAATAAGTCGGCCGGACCGAAGGGTGCAATTGTGGGAAGCGGGGGTACAACTCCCTTGTTCGGTGCAAGTCCTGTGCACAACACCTCCAACTATGGAAGCCCGCAACCAGCCTACGTTGGTCCTCCGGCGTATGCTCCCTACTCACCCAGCGCGCCACCAATATACTCTGCGCCGGGGTATGCAGACCAGGAAGCCGGGACCGGCCCTCAGAAGCCCCGAATCAAGCAGAATAGGACGTGCAGGGACATTCTCTTCCTCATCTTGTTCCTTGCCTACGGCGTTGGCATTATCATTGCATCCAGCTACGGATTTCACAACGGCGATCCCCGGAGGTACTTGCAATCATTTGCTAGCAATCCCTCTTTCTACGCATGATTCCCGATTGTGTGTACACGATGTGGTTGTTAGAGCCTAGTTTCACTTTGTTGCGGAATTGTGACTTGCAGGCTTGTGTATGGATTGGACTACAAAGGTAACACATGCGGTGACAATAAAGGCTCACCTAATCTCAAGGACTACGACATCCGGTACTGGTTGAACCCCAATCAAGTGTACAAGAGCGGGCTGACTTCTGATCCCTTCAATCTCGGCGATGCGCGCAGCATTTGCCTTGCGGATTGCCCTATCCCAAGTGCCACAAACCTCACTTGGGTATGCGACTATCCTGAAGGCCCCATAAAGCTGACCATGTCGGAGTGGGGTGCTCGCAACTACGATTACTTCAGCATGCTTACGCCGGAGCAGCAGGCATCTTCTTTCAATCTGACTGGTCCCTGCTATCCTGTTCTCTTCACTAGCACCAATTGTAAGTCTCTTTATCCGACGTGTGATTTATTTGCAAAGCTTCCACGGGACATTTTTGTATTCTTCTCTTATTTCTCTAGTTAATCTACATTAACACGTCTGCATGGTCATGCCAAAAGTGTTCTGGAGCTGTCAACTGGCCTCGACGCCCTCGAACACTTCTTTGAGTCTTTGGCAATCAGCTGGCGGCACTGAAGTGCAATCCGGGAATGTGATAGTCCAAGTGGTCCAGAAAGCATTATCCTCTCCGGCCGCTATTGTAAAGGTGCGCACCTTTCTTCAAACCAATTGTCAAATTTCAGGGTCGCACGACTCATCTAATCTTTTACAATTCGCAGTCACTTGTCTAGGACAGTATAACATCTGAATTTGAGATGCGATGTCATCAAGGTTATCAATTGATTGGGTTTTTGGTATGGATTGCAGAGATATGTTGCAGATTTGGGGAGGGCGTGGCCAGTTCTTGTGGTTTGTGGTGGCATAGCTCCATTAGTCCTTTCCATTGCGTACCTTGTCCTCGTCCGGTACTTCGTCGGTGTATTGACGTGGATTACGATCATCCTGCTTAATGTTCTCACAGCCCTGGTGACATTGTTCTTTTACATCAAGGGTAAGCACTTGTTGCTACATTTCGGCTGTTGGCGTCGAGCTATCAGTGCCAACTTCAGAGATTGGGTTCAAAGTTGATCTGTCAAACGATTTAGGGTTTAGTGCATAATACGTTGGGGTTGTGATGTGCAGCTGGATGGATTGGCAAGGATGTTGTGACGGGTGTCATAGGAGATGGAGCCAACAAAGTCCTCTCGTCTTCTGCAAGCGTAAGCCCAATCACAACCTTTCCCCTGATGAATTTCACCCTTTTACCCTCGAATTTCTCAACCTTTATTTTACTTTTGTTTTCGGATCGGAATAATGAATGAAGCTATCCTTAGTGTTATTCAATCGATCTACGACCTAAAGCTTTGCAATTCACAATCGCGTGTCCTTCATTGTACAGGAGGCTAACCATTTGAAGATCGTGGCGGTGATCATGTCAATCGTTTTTGTGGTTGTAGTACTTGTCACGCTCGTCTTGATCAAACGCCTCATTATTGCCGTTGCAGTAATCAAGGTACAGAATCAACGAAATGAATCTTGTCCGATTTACACTATATTCCCGAGCTATCTTTCTAATCTAACGTCTGAAACGGATGCCACAATGCATTCTGCCTTGGATTCTTCAGTGTTCAAGGAGAAATCTAACCGAACGTTTGTGCTTCGTCTGGATTGTGGCACAGGTAGCTACAAAGGCGATGGGAGCAATTCCAAGTCTCCTCATATACCCTATAATTCCATTCATTTTCCAGAGTGCATTCTTAATCTACTGGGTAGCAGGGTTTCTCTACCTCGTTAGCGCAGGCACAGTGACACGAAATAACTGTAACAACAGTTGTGCGGCATATGATCTCACTGCTGGGCTAGTGACTGATACCAACTGCTGTGGATATGATGTCCACCAAAGCAAAAACCTCGTGTGGGCTATATTGTATCAGATTTTTGGGTTTTTCTGGACTACCCAATTCATCACTGCGTGTTGTCTAACAACAATCGCCGGTGCAGTAGCCGCGTACTACTGGGCTAGAGGCGACACAGCTGTGAGTCTGCGTACTTTCAACTCTTTCAGAGCTCAGTTCAATCGTTAAATGGTTTTCATGGCTCAAATGAAATGAGCTGAACTAATTTGTGCTGGACTGTTGGTTCACGTTTTGCATCCAGAACATGGGTTGGTTGCCTGTTCTATCATCGGCAAAGCGCGTGTTCCGGTACAGTCTGGGATCAATGGCGTTGGGTTCTCTACTCGTGGCAATCATCGAGATGATTCGGTTCTTGTTGGAGATGCTGCGGAAGAAGCTCAAGGCATTGGAAGCGGCACCGGGTGGATGCTTCATTACAATCTGCTGTTGTTGTGTGCAGTGCTGCTTGGGTTGCATCGAGTGGACCATTAAGTTTATCAACCGAAACGCTTACATAGTGGTACGTGGCTTCTGACTATGAGATCGGTAATGCATCTCCTTCAAGTGCTTGTTGAAGTCCGATGCTCAGGATTGAATGAATTCTACTAATTCGAATTTTTCTTGTTGTGCGCAGATTGCTATCAATGGCAAAGGCTTCTGTCGCGCCGCAGGAAAGGCAACAGGGTTGATAGTGAATAACGTCTTGAGGGTTGCGGCTGTGAATATTATTGGTGACATGATATTATTCCTAGGGAAAGTTGTTGTGAGCTTGGCCAGCGCTCTCTTTGCCTTCTTGATGCTCGACACCAAGCAGTACAAAACGGGTCACAGCAAAGTTTCTTCTCCTCTCTTCCCTGTGCTGGTTAGCGTCGCTCCTTTCCTTCCAATTTGTCAATACCTCTAGCTGCAATGTTTGTTCAATTGATTTCTTCAGTTACCTCTGCTCTGACGAGTACCACTCGTTTTGTGTTTGATACCAGTTCTGCTGGTTTATAGGCTTCCTTGTAGCTGGCATGTTCTTCGGCGTAGTAGAGATGGCAATCGACACGATTCTGCTGTCCTTCTGCATTGACTCTGAGGAGAATAACGGCACTCCCATGTTCGCCCCGCCGTTGCTTCTGGATACGCTCACGTCCCACGCCAAGCGAGTGGAAGCAGACGAAGCTGCGCGCGCTGAAAAAGCTGCCCGCAAGCAACAAGCCAAACGGTAGCCTGACCTCTGTACATGCTGATCGCTGCGTGAGTTTCAGGAGGAAATGACTAAGCCAACAGACGGGGCTCACTTGCTTACACCCAACATCACATTGTGTGCTTGCTGATAAACATCTTGTATAGGACTGATTTTTTGCCATTGAGGTCAATAGATTGCTGCAGCTTGTGTAGCAATCTCCACTGTGGAAGCTCTGTCAAAAGGTCACTTGGGCTGAACTTTTACTTAAACACAAATATGCATGCATGTGAGTATGAATAAATTGCACGCCAATTGACCTTTTCCCCATTTGTCAGGTCTTCTCATCAGTCGCTTTTGCGTGCTTATAGCTGTTGACGATTTGTTCGATAAGTGCATCTCTTTATCATCTGGCAACTAGGTCGGAGTTTTCTAAGAGCACTGCAGTATGTATCATGAACCACACTTTAGCTGTAGGGAATATGACATTTGATAAGTATGGTAAATTCAGTTCGTTCCTTCCCACGCCAGAAGAATTGTACAAACGTATTATCAGCACCTTGTACCAACTTGAGATCAGAAATCTAGTATCCCATCTCGCACTTCAAACAATGGCTCTTAAATGCAATAGTGAATCTGAATCACCAATTCGCAGACAACACATGCAGAAATTATGGAATACTGTGCACGCATGAAACTATCTTAGCGGGCAGGGATACAAATATTCAAAGCAATGCCCATGAAGCTGGTGGACATAGTGAACCTAAAGCTCGTTGGGACCTGGTGATCTGTTTGATGCAGACAACCACGTGAATTGATTGCAAAGAAACTCAACACTTCACGCAAAAAATGCCCGGTACTGCAGCTGCGAAAGATGAAAACGGTAGTCGCTCTCTCGCCAAAAGTAAAACCCAACTAAATTAACTACCCGAACGAGATCTGCTTTTATTATCTGGGTCCTATTCTTGAGAATTTGAATATCTAGGGTTTCTTGTATTTGTTGAGGTTACAGTGAAGACAGGCGGCGAGTCTCATCACATGTCCCACTGCGGATGACATCGAGAAATAAGAACAGATCGAGGACGCCCCAAAAAACCTAATCCATCCCCTCTTGAGCGCGCACTTTAGGTGGCGTCTGCATCGACGCACCATCTGTCAGCCTCTGTAAAATTGCGTTACTGGCGTCCTAGAATGTACGTTAGAATTTGGGGTCTAGAATCATCCAGGACATCCTGCCGTTCTCCAAATCTCGCCTTATAGGCTCCTTCTGCATCAGTAGGGCTATTCTGTCTCACTGGTTACTTCTTTCAGAACCAGCTCCGCCGCTTGTAGCATCGTAGTTTCTAGTCGACATTGTTGCCTCCTGTTTGATCCCGGATAGTCAATATGGCGTTGCCCGGACAGACTACGCCTGACAATTGTCCGAGCTTCAAGCTTGTTATTGTTGGAGATGGAGGAACCGGGAAGACCACCTTTGTGAAGCGTCACTTAACGGGAGAGTTCGAGAAGAAGTACGAACCCACCATCGGTGTGGAGGTTCACCCCTTAGATTTCTTCACCAACTGCGGACGCATCCGATTTTACTGTTGGGATACCGCCGGACAGGAGAAGTTTGGAGGTCTGCGTGATGGGTATTACATCCATGGGCAATGTGCTATTATCATGTTCGATGTGACTGCAAGGCTGACCTACAAGAACGTGCCCACATGGCATAGAGATCTGTGCAGAGTGTGTGAGAACATTCCCATCGTGTTGTGCGGAAACAAGGTGGATGTGAAGAACAGGCAGGTGAAGGCTAAGCAGGTGACGTTCCACAGGAAGAAGAACCTCCAATACTACGAGATTTCCGCTAAATCGAACTATAACTTCGAGAAGCCATACCTGTACCTTGCCAGAAAGTTGGCTGGTGACGTGAACTTGCACTTCGTGGAATCTCCTGCTCTTGCTCCTCCTGAAGTTCAGATCGACTTAGCTGCGCAGGCTCAGTACGAGGCTGAGCTTGCTAAGGCTCAATCGATGCCCCTTCCCGATGACGATGATGATGCTTTTGACAATTAGATAATTAGTAAATTTTTTCCTCCTCAAGTCCTCTGCCTAATCATGGATCTGAGATGGTTGGCCGTGGCGAGGTTACGCGTTGGTTTCAGATTTTATCTCGGACAGTCCATGCTCCCTCTGACCCTGGGTAGATGTGGCTAATGTACGCCCTCGTTCAAAAGTGGAACAGAAGCTCCTTTAATGCGACCTAGCGAAGCGTACTTTTTATTATTTCAATTCCTGATACAGAATGATTATTTACCCACCAGCCTTGTTTCTGTTATGTTTCACTTCGGCACTTGCAGCGGCTATGGTCCAATAGCGCCTGAGGCACTTGTGGACTTTTCAAATATAACCCCGGTGGGGATTGACAGATGACACTAGCTCCCGTTGAGTGAAGCGAAGATTGACTTTAAGTTGGAGCGTGTGACCTATTATTAGTTATGGTATCGAGACAAGGTTTTCTATCTTTGAGATGTTAAAGTCTTCAGCAGGCATTGTTGCTGTTGTACTGCGGGATGTCTCACTGTGACCACCCAGTTTGTGAGTGTGACCGTGGCCTGGCCTATTCTCTTTAAGTTCTGTTGTCCCTGTGAAGTTCTTGGTAGGCTTTGACATTTTGGCCTTGCATCTCCTACGCACATGATTTAAACTGCGGTATTAATCGGATGACATGTGGTCTGGTTCCCATTGTTTTGAATGCCGAAGTGGACATGGGTTGGTCACTTGGGTCAGTATTTTCGGGACGTTTAGTGCAACAGTGTCTGAATGCATTTCGAAACAAAAGTCTTCACTTTGATGCCCACTCGTGGAATCTTACTGAGGAGTGTATCCGAGCATCAGAACTTGAAAAAAAAAACACTCCTTCAGTGCATCTTTCGTATCAAGAACCTCTTATCATTTGCAGTATCTGCACTGCAGTGCAAATTTGGTCCTAGTGTCTGACAGTAGACAGCTGCTAGTTGCTTGTTTCACAGCGTAATTGACATGACTGATTTGGAGAGAGAAGAAGGTGCTGAACTATCGTATATTGATGCCATGAAGCTCGTGCATGCACATGTGGATTAGTTGATGAGATATATTTTCTTAACGTACTCAATTACATGCAATACAGTAAGGTTCAACATACGTCATCCATCGTCAATTTCCGAGTGTACCAGCTACCTTACGCACAGATTCAGGATTAAGTATTGTGTGTGCCCCATGTTGCCAGCATATAAATATATTTGAAGTACGTATGCACGGTTCTACATGTGTACATACATCTGTATTTGTGAGAAATAGATTTCAAATCCCTGTCACAAAATACTTATTAGTTCATCCAGTTCCGTTTGATTTATGAATATTTACGTACATGTGTGTATGAAGACAATGGAGAAAATGAATATAGTGTTCCATATGGAATGTCCGTGCATTGGACATCTTTGAAAAAATTTAATTTAGATTAAAATGCTGCACATATTCTATACTATTTCCTTGACTAATAAATGTCTTCTATGTGGCAACTCATGATTGATATTTGTTTTGAATCAACAATAATTATGGTATAGCTATGCACTATGGTTTTATTTAATATATATTTTCTATGTGATTAGACATGACTGGTATTTGTTTTAACTCAACAACAAATTTTGTTAGCAGCATATACTAATATGATACAAAGTTTAAAGCAAGGTGTATGGTCTAATAGTAGTATGAAACTTGTATTTGATGGGTTGAAATTTATTATTTGTTCCACAAACAAGCTCCTTAGTACAAATAGACGTCTTTGTTTTTTGGCTTTTTCATTTTTGAAATTATAATCCTTGTCTTGGATCTTGTTAATTGAATCCAACAAGATCATGCCTTATAGAAATTTTATTTTATTTTATAATATAAACATAAGTTTTTATAGCAAGGTTTGTTATTTTTTTTGGTGTTAATTCCTTAAATTTAGTTATATCAATTTGCATAGACTCCAATGTCAATAAATATATTTTTGAAAATTTGGAAGTTATTTTCATGATTTGATTTGTTCTTCTTTAATCAAATCTTTTTTCTTGACTCCTTTCGAAGAGCCAATTGCTGGATGCAATGGCTTGAATATTAAATTATATTAATAAATTTATTTTTGATATAGTTAACAATAGATTTTTGACATTTTTTTTTAAACCACACTAAATTGATTAGTAAGAACTTTATTGTCCTAATCCATGTTGCAAGCAAGTTGTTGGAATTTATCAATATAAATAGTAATTGAATATGATCCTTATTGCAAAGACTAGATTTTTATATTTGGTATCATTTTTTAATTTTTTTTCTAAATGTGGCCATAAACACTTCCAAAAATGAATTTAGATTTTATAGAAGTCATGAATCATTTTCCATCAAAAATAATAAAAAAAAAACTAATAAATAGAACTATCAAATAAAATTTTGTTTATAAATTTAAATTGATTAATTTTGTTAACATACGAAAAGAATATAAGGTTAAAAAAAACTGAACTTGTTGTAAAAATCCTTAAAATTTTGATCTTATTCCAACAAACTTCTTTGATATAAAAAACTTTGGATCTTTCATCTTGTAGCAGCAAAAATATTTAGAATTACTTATGATATTCATCTACTTGCTTCTCTCAACTACAGAGCTTATTTGTATAAATATTAGGCCTTGTTGATTTCTTTCAATAGTATAGAAACAATACTTCCATAGTTGACATTACTAATGCTTAAGAATTTTTTCTAAATATTATTAAGAAGTTCATGAATATTCATAATAGTTGCAAATCTATTATTACTTCTACAAATATAACATTCATAATTTTTTTTTCTTCCATCTTTATAATAGACAACACTAACAAATCTACAAGTCATATTAAAAGAGGATAATCTACAAAAGCTAATCTATTATATAATACAACTTAGGTATAAAATATGATATAAAGAAATCTTTTCATTAGCTGAACATGGATGAACATGGATGATCAATGAAATGGGTAGATGGCAATGCAAGAGATCACAGTGCACAAGAACATGGGTTACTACTTGTATCAAATAAAATATCTTCAATGCCAACATCCAGACTTGTAAAAAAATCTTTGAGTTCCTTGATTGTATTTTTCTCACTAAAATTTATAGTTTTAAACCTTGGACCTTCTCCTTTGCAAAATTCAAGAAAAATGGAACTTTGTCAATTTAGACAACATAAGCTACTCCATCACTAACAGGTATTGAGCAGCTAGAATACCATCTGCAACCAAAAACCATAAAAATGTAAGACACTATTTTATTTTATGGGCATGTCCACTTTGTTGAAAACAACCACCAAAAGCTGACAAACAAAAAGAAATCAGATAGAAACATAACTTCTTATTGCAATTTTGTTCTAAAAATACAGAGAGTCACCAGAACTTACCAATCGAATTTAATGCTATAGACCATGTCTGGTCACAAACTTTTCACACAAACTGCCTGCACCTGGACTGCTCATTGTCCACCTCTAGAGGAATTCTCAAGCAGTTTACATCTGCTGCGATTTCCCAACTAACACAATTTTCATTTCAGGGTCACAATACTTCTGTGAGAGCTACATGAAGATATCTCACTACATGAAACATGTATCTCAAATTTCAAGTTAATTCAATTTGCATGCGTAATTTTCACGTGATTATGCCCTCGAACTATGCCAAACATTCCAAATTGAAATTGTACGTACACCATGAAAAGATTGTCAATAATGTTGAAAGATTACAGCATGAAGGGATCGTACCAAAAGGACGCGCAAGTGCTCTGCTTGACGGCGGTCCTATTCAGTAGTCACATTAGAATAACCAATCATGTCCTAAATTCTGCGAAACGAAAGTGCGAAAAAATTGATCAAACGTTAATACAAAAGATCACAAAAAATTGTTAAATCAAACGGGTAGCATGATTATTGCAATACACGACTGCTGACATGAAGATGAACAGGTGCTCGAACAATCACCAAAAAGAACACATTAGTTACAAAGCTTGTAATAACTAAAATATAGGTGAACATTCTCTTTTGAAATACTGCGCACTTGTCATTGTTCATTCTCTTCTGCTAAGGATGAATTGGTGGAATCTGCAACCAGAAAAGCATTTCAATGGCAGTCTTAGCACAGTCTTCACGCAATGCCTAACGAAGGTAATTATTCGGTCACTTTCAATTACCGAAGCTTGCACAATCTGAATATATTCATTGATTAGGTACTAATCCAAAGCAAACGCTAAGAGATGTGGTGATACGATAATTCACGTCTGCATGGAACAGAGAAATACAACAAATCAGACACTACTTGAGATTTCGACTCCAGTTTTTATCCATGGCTAATGAAACATCTACTAATCCTTTAGAAACTGCGATTTCATGTCATGATACTTCACCGCACGTTCCCCAAAACCATGTCAGCCAAAATAGGTGCACTTCTTGTAATGTACTACTACATCCTTCAGCCAGAGAAATTTGTGATATTCAATAGAATTTCGCAAAGAAAACATGATGATGGATTAAACTGTGTTGCTCAGTGGGTCCGGAATCATTGGCTGTGGGCGTACTTTTACTTCCTCGTCCATTTTGCCCACAAATTCCACAGCTCGCATGGAATGAGACTCATCTTTCTTGGCTCATCAATCGTTTCAATCACAGCAAACGCGATGAAGACATTTCCTGCATCCTCACCAAATTCATCACAACCCAGTTCTCAAACCTTGCAAGCAAGCACATCCGCGCCACAAATAGAAGCTAAAAAATCATAGTCCTTACACAAACCCACTTCAACATCATACTTCTCAACGCGAATACCCCCACATGGAACAGCAACAGATTCATGCCACACCTCTAGGACAAGTCCACAAATGCAATGAACACTTGGCATGGTCGCATGAAAAACCCCCTATAGTGAACTCGTATCGCAACCACAGCACTAAACAGCTTCAAAATGGGCACACGAAACCACGATATTCATGGATCTTAACAGACAGATATATATTTATTGCTGATTTATAAGAAATCTATGGGGTGTGAACGTGTTTTTTTTCTTCAAGTTAAGTTTTTAATTGGTGCCTAGTTTGTTTCAAGACGGCTGTCTCCTTGGCATCGCTTCGTAAAGATATACAAAGTATAGGGCTTTGTGTGATCAATTTTATGTGTTCAATTTATTTCTTTATTACAAAAAACGTGACTACTGTTTTCAACCTCTATCTAAGAATTTAGAGTGATTTTTGAAGTAGAATGCAATACGATTAATTTTCTATAGTATTAAAGTAATTTTTTAAAATTAACTTTAAGGATTTCTCTTTCCAAAGGACATAAAAATTTAGTGTTAATTATCTAAAAGATAATGAAGCAGCTTCGACAATTTAATGTACGTTTGTTAACTATACTGACATGCAATGGAATATGAATGTATTGGTCATTCTCACATACAATAAAAACTTAAGAGCAATTACCACCCATTCTGCTACATAACTGTTCAGATTCGAAACACAGCAAAACAATAACAAATTAGTAAAAAAACTGTGACATGCAACATCTGATGTGAATATCTATTAATTTCTACAACGATGGTTAATTAGGTTCTTTTCTTTTGGGGTTCAGGATAGTTAGGTTAATTACAACGGTGGTTAATTAGGTTCTTTTCTTATAGGGTTCTTTTGGGGTTGTTTGGTGTGCGGCAGTAACTATGCAAATTGATATAACTAAATTTAAGGAATTAACACCAAAAAAAATAACAAACCTTGCTATAAAAACTTATTTTTATATTATAAAATAAAATAAAATTTCTATAATACATAATATTGTTGGATTAAATTAACAAGATCCAAGACAAGGATTATAATTTCAAAAATGAAAAAGCCAAAAAACAAAGATGTCTATTTGTAATAAGGTGCTTGTTTGTGGAACAAATAATAAATTTCAACCCATCAAATACAAGTTTCATACTACTATTAGACCATATACCTTGCTTTAAACTTTGTATCATATTAGTATATGTTGCTAACAAAATTTATTGTTGGGCTAAAACAAATACCAATCATGTCTAATCACATAGAAAATATATATTAAATAAAACAATAGTGCATAGCTATATCATAATAGGTTCTATACTTAAGCTTCTACTATGTCTCAATAGGACTAGTGTTAAATTACAAATAAAATTATAAGGAGAAATATAAATACAAGGCTTTATTTTCTGAATCCCAACAACTTACTTTATACACAAGATTAAAAAAGAATAGAAGAAAAGGGAATCAACTAAGGATTTGTTCTACTATACCAACTCTCAAATATCTCTTTTTTTACCTCTTCTATACTAGATATTAATAGTCTAGTCTTATTTAGTCTATATCAACCTTAAAGACATTCCTATCACCAAATACAAACTATTCTAGGATAAATGTGTGCACTTCAATGTTATGTTCCAGAATCATGTAATAATTGTTATATCACAAAATGTTACTAATAAAATTTATTGTTGATTCAAAACAAATATCAAACATGAGTTGCCACATAGAAGACATTTATTAGTCAAGGAAATAGTACATAGCCACACAATTGCTTCTATAGCTGAGCATTGCATCTTTATAATTTAATTAACAAAAAAAAAACAAGTATTGAGAATTTGAAAAATGTTATTAATTTACTATTCATAGAATATGTTGCAAAAGCATTCTATTAGCTAGACTTTCAACTGATTAAAGACTTCAACCACATTATCACTAAAAAAATAATTTAGGTATAATTGAGCCCCATTCTTAATAAATTCTCTTATAGTTTCTTCCAATTGATTCTTAGTCAAGCTTTCAAATCAACTTCCACTACTCAAACTTAAGCCTAAAATATCAAAATAATAAATATAACTTTCATTCATAACAAAAATAAATACCTCCATCTATTTAAAGACATAGAATTTATTATTATCTACACCATAGACAAATCTACTATTGCTCAAGAAGTTTGATTAATGGCAGTTGAAAACATGCAATATACCCACCTTATTGACACAAATCATATAATATTAAAGTAGCTTTACTTATGCCTTTGCAATATATAAAATATTCAAATATTTTAGAATAATTACTAATTTTAGGTTTATGACTTCTTTAATAAACAAATAAAATAGAGCACAATTCTTTGTATTGTCTATACTTTCTTACCTATCCTTGCATTAAAAAAAAAAAAAAAAAAAAAAAAAAAACTCTATTTAGCAAGATTGACTTGGCTCTTAAGATGGTTATTCTTGCTTATTCATCCAAAGTTGTTGATGTTGTATATTGTAAATATATATAATTTTTAATCTTAAACTTTCAAATTTGAAATTTATAAGCCTTGCTTTTAATTTGAATGTATCTTACGATATGTCTATATTACACTTAGATTCATTATATAATACTTAAGCTCAAATTCTTAGATCATCCAAATTAATAATTAAGTTCTATTTCTTTCTTACTACTGATAGTAACATAGGTTCTTTGCCATATAATAGCTGATAATGACTAAAAAAATATATAAGTATTTGTTAATTAAAGCAATAACATATAGCTATTTAAAATAACTTTAAAGTTCAATTTCTGTAGTATTTTTGTTAACAATCTGTAGTTATGAAATCCATGCTTGATTGTCTAAACCACGCTCTTTTCTAATTTATTGATCTCTAAATAGTCTCCAGATGTTGTGAAGTGATCAGTTAAAGCTTTAGTGTACAATTCTTTAAAATATTCAAGGCATTTTCTTTTCTAATCTATCAACACTTATACATGGCCTCTAAATTTAGTAAGAATATAATCTAGAAAATCAATTGTCAATTATGGTCACTATTTAAAATTTGATACTTTAATTTTTTTATTTTAAAAATCCAATAACAAAGGATTTGGTAAGTAGAATAAAAGAGATTTATAATATATATATATATATATATATATATATTTAATTTAAAGAACTTAAGAAAAAAAAAAAAAAAAAAAAAACTGATAAAGCTATTTTTAGAAAAGAACAAATTTTAATCAAAGTTGGTGATAAGATATGGTTACTTTGTTATGATATCAAGATTAATTAATCTTATGATAAGATTGATTATAAAAGACTTTTAATATTTTTATCTAAAAATAAATTAATCTAGTGGCATATTGATTGCAATTACTACTATCAATAAAGATTCATTATGTATTCTATGTTTTTCTTATTGAGCCTTATATAGCAATTAATATATTGAAAAGAAAGCAATGACTACCACTTCTTGTTGAAATAGATAACAACCAAAAGATTGAAGGAAAAGAAGTCTTGGATTCAAGATTGCACCAAAATAAATTAGAATATCTTGTACATTGGTGAAAATATGATATTAATGAATATTTACAATAGCCATGTCAAAATCAACAAATGTGTCAAAACTTGTCTACTTAGTTTTGATTTATCTACTTTCTATATTTGAATGACACAAGAGTGTTATACTTCTTTAGAGTTTTTTTGTGATTCATGTTCTTAACATAATATACATAGCACTAGTTAGATCTTGTCTGATACAACTATACACAATTTATTCTCTTCTATCACCACATTGCAATCTACATCTTTCAATTAATTACATATTTTTAATATAATTGTACCAAAATTTGTAATTTTGCAAACATACTTCTCTATGCTCAATAAAGCCTTGTATTCTTTCTAATCCATCATTTGATGCATCTTATTAATTGAAAGAAGAGAGATAGGATAGATTTTCTATAAAAAGTATTCATTTTAAAAAATAATTTTTAAAAATAATTCTAAATTAATACTTTTAACTTATGTATTTTCAAAAAGAAGTATATATAATAAAATTGGATTATAAAACCACTTTTAATAATAAAAAGAATAAAATCACATTTGTTATTATTATTATTATTATTATTTTGGCTAAATATCTTGTAGCTCCATATATTTATTTTACATAATTTTATGTTTTTTATGTTTTTTATGTTTTTATGTTTTTTATGTTTTTTTTTTTTTTTGTATCATGCATCTTGTTGTTTGATTGATTTATTTATTTATTTTATCCTTAGTTCCTATTTATATTTTATTAATCCACAAAATTAATTAGCCACACAAAATAAGTCTAATGTATAAAATCTATTTATTTTTCATTGAATTATCTATGCTAGTCTTAGATATGATTATATTTTTTCTCTTCATTTGTTGGTTTTTTTATAAAATATTTGCTTGTTTTAAGCACTGTTTGTTATTTATTAATTAGTTTTTCTATTGTTGAACTAGGATGTTTTTTTTATTGAATCTAGAGTTGTTTGTTTCTTCATGCTATCTCCCATTATTATATTATACTTCCATTCTTGTTCATTTATTTTTTTGTATTCTTAATATTATTATTCCTTTATATTTTTTTCCTTCTTTGACTTCAATTCTTTATTTTAGCTTGTATTTAGCTACCTTTTTAAATCTATTTATGATGGTTCTAGTTCTTCATTACATCAAAGTGTCATATACTTTGATTTTCTATTAATCAAAATTGTTTTTGTGACTTAGCACACTGATTTGTCATTTCTAGTGTTTCTTGAACTTCTTCATTACCATTCAAAACCTTACACTTAGGCACACTTCTATACTTGTTAATGCATATATGACATCTAGACATCCCAAATTGACACCCAAGATGCATACATACTTGCTATAATTGTACAATACACATACATATCTAAACTTTAAAATTCACATATATATATATATATAACAAAACTTCCACAATACCTTTCAATTTTGCACACTAAGAGAGAAGCTTTTTAACTACTTTCTCAACTACTATAAATTCTTCCAATTTTTTATAATATTCTATTATATTTTGTAAGTTTTATTTTTTTAACTAATTAGAAATTACAAACTAGTTGAAAATAAACTATCTTATAATCAACTTCAATCTTTCATGGATTTGTTTTCACCAATAAACCCAAATAACCACTACAATAACCAAGTGAGTTACTTGGAGTGTGGATGCCTGACTTGACTTGACTTGACTTGGTTTTCCCAACACTTTCATCATGTCTAGTTCATCTCTTCAGTTAACCTGCCAACTGGTTTTTCCAACCATTTGCCGAAGTGTGCTTCCTGTGAGCTTCTCGCCTCCCATTGTCACTCCACCTTGGACACACAATGGGTCTGCTCCAAAAAGTGCTGATCACAACCTCACCCTGCCGAACAGTTTCACAGATGACAATTTTGCAGTGCACGGATCTGCTTTTTCAATGCAACAAAGTCAGCTACCGCAGTACTGGATTGCAATTTACCTGTGCGAAGATGAGGTGTTAAAACTTCAAGGCTTCAAGATTTCCAACGGAGAACGTTCTCATATCTCTGGTACTTCAGAGATTGACTTGGATGCTAGAACTTCAAGGTTTCAGTCATCTATTCTGGTTTGCTGAAGTTCACACAGGATTTCCCTTTCCTGGATACCAGACTTCGTGCTACAAAGGACTAATTTTGAACAGGTAGGCACACAAGACGATCTTACGAAGTGCAATGCACCGGCAGAATGGTTATCGGATTCGTGTGATTCCCACTCCCCAGCAATTGTGTTGTTCTTAAAATCATGACTGTTCAGCAATTAGTGACGTGTGAGGCTTGATGGATAAAGACCTCCTCTATCTGGAGTCGCACATCTAATTATTCTGCAGAATTAGAATTTGTCGTTAGTTTGACAATTCTGAAATCGGTCTATCGGAAGACAATAGCTGCAGTTACAAAACTTACTCTAAAGCTTTCTCATTTTGAAGTCGCGAGCAAGTTCTTCAGCGGTCATTCCTTCTCACATGGTCACATTTCCAGTAGCAAGCAGGGAGGCATTTCAACCACTACAAAGATTAGGACACTCGAAAAAACTTCACTCCCAAATAGAATGTACTGATCCTTTCCCTACTTGGGTATCTCGGCTAGAATTTGGTACGGAGTGCCTGGTCGACGTAGTTATCAACATGGAATGGATATACTGTTGACGACCTCAAAGCAGAGCTTGCAAACCCCATGTTCAGGACATATCAATGCATTGCATTTCTATGCCAAAGTCGGACCACCTCGGTTTTCTGAATACTCTATTTAACGTTAACGCCGTATGTGCTATATATCCAGCCTGCTTGCTTGAGTCAGCAAACACGTTGAATAGCAATCAGGATAAGCTGCATCTAGTTCATAGAGGTAAACACGTTTCTGAAAGAGGTGCAAGATCTTTCCTGGTATATTAAATGATAAAAAAAGAAACACCCATACTCTAACAGTCCGTGACAAGCTCAGCAAATTGGCGGCTGCAACTAACAAGGGTCAGCAAGGTCACATCATGAATGACCCGAATGAATCAAACTAACTCTCAGGCTTCTTGCAGTTGACACATACTTAGTATGCTCGTGCCGTACCAGAAAAGTGTCGTCGGGACAAAAATGTTCATCGACAAAGGTTCTTCTCAAGTACTGCTCAAACACTAAATTGATGCACCTTCCACTAGTGCTCCGGAGAAACCCTACGTTTCGGCGTAAATCTAAGCTGGTAGCTTCAGCTTCTCGTTGTTCTTCCAGCTGCAACACCGCATTCACACAATCAGAAACCCAAAATGTAAGAATTTGACACAAGAATCCAAAGAAGTGACCCTATATCATTAACACGCATGACTTTGCAACCAAACATTTCAACAAACTCCTTTGCGAGGAATGCGATGGTTGCAAGTCAATACCTCTTAAAGTAGTAATAAAAGAAATCGACGTACAAGGCCGTCTGAACGATTCCTGCCATCCAGGCTACAAGCAACAAAGCATGCGATTAGGTAGTGTGAAGAACACATACATGAATCTTATCCATACATGTACATTTAACCAACGGATGCAAAATGAAAGCATCACCACAACAAAAACATCCCATATGCACCCAGTATTGCAAGCGATGAACAAAGAGTACATGAGTTTACGTACTTATCCATCGACGGTAGTGATTTTCCGTAAAATACCGATAGATCCAATTGATGAGGTAAAATCCTCGATAAGCTCTGCCAAGAAAAGAATGAGCATAGTAACAAAGTGTCAGACTTCAACAAGCATCACATGAAATAATTGTGATTCACTGCTAACGAAATGTAAAAGGCAACATTTTTAATTTGCAATAATAGCGCACCCGAGGAAGAACACATAGTTGCCTGTCAAGTTGTCGACATTCTTTGACCTTTGTAACAGTACCAATTGGGGAATGATAGCAACCGCTTCCAAATACAGAGAGAAAGTCCATAAAACCTGTTCCGTTTGAACATGGATGAAAATATGCAACTTGTAACAATAGAGGAAATTAAACTCTTTCACGCAAAGTATATCAGCCAGCATTTAAAATAAGTCATAAATTTTAAGCATTCGTCATATTCTACGATAAAATAATTTTCTTCGGTTCCCACCTCAAGTAACATACACATAAGTCTGAGATGCTTATACTTACCTCCCGAACGGTGAACCTGTTGTTGAGAACCAAAGCCAGTAGAAAACACGGCAGAACCAGAAAATAATGACGGAAAGTGTCGTTGTTCTTATCATACGACAGTCGCACTGTCTTGTGGCGTCTCATGTACCACACAATGGAGAAAGAGGTGCCCAGGAATATCAGCTTCATCACAGTATTGTACAGAGATATGTAAGTGGTAAAAATATCCAAGTACCGCGTGGCAAATACAAGGGCATACAGCTCCTGCGTCTTTAACGAGATCCCTGAGTGAATACAAACAAGGGCAGCCTATTTAGAATTCCTCCTAAAACCAAAAACATCCTACGCATACCAATACTACTTCCCAGCTGCAGTAACAGTGCATGTCACGGACCTTTCTCGTCATACTCCGAGTTGAAGAGTTCCCAGGGTTACAGTTAAAAATGGGCAAACGACAGAAAGCTAGACAACAGCACATACAACATAAAAATGAAAGAATGACTGCGCCGAACATAATACAACGCAACAAAATGTGATGCAAGTGAATCCAGTTGTCATAGCATTAACAAAGTGGATAAAGATCTGTTGGTGTAGTTAAGTAAGCACACAAACAAAACCCTCTTATCAGCTCACTATAACCACCCAACATACTCAGTCATGCATGTTTTGCTTTGCATTAGTGGGATACGGAAACACCAACCTCTCGAAAGTTGACTGCATAATATCTTTAAAATTGATTCAAGTTCAACAAGAAAAAACGATGGGGAGAGCAACAGTAGCGATTACTAAACATGTGTAAGAAAATACAAGCGCGAAGACATCGAGAATGGGGGTACCCGCGCATGATTTGATGGTGTGGATCTTCAACAGCAACACGATTATACTCATCAAGTGCGTCAAATCCCCCGTAAGCCTGAAGATATTCATCCTGGCAGCTTCGTATACCCAGCCACTAAACTGCAACACAAGATAGTTTAATCTTCAAATTGAACGTGTCACACCATCTCTACCATCACTAAATCCTAACACCACAAGGAAACCCTCCCAAAATCTCAAAACTCCTTCAATCAAGCGTCCTCAACAGCAGGGGAAGTGATAAAACGTCATTGCTATCGCTAACACCCTGTAAAATACAACATACCGCTAGAGTCATTCTTCACGTCTCACCTGTGAGGCTCGTCAAGATCCAAATCCAAAGCCCTCACCAGTAGCAACCACCACAGGTCAATGCCTCTCAACCCTAACACCTCAAATGACTGGCAATACTGAATGCAAGTGATTCATTCCCACGCACAATACCAATTGAAAAAAGGATCAATCGACGCTCTCTCCCGCTTCGACGTTCTCCCGCTTCTGAGTGCAGACGCGATTCGGGGCTCCGATTCAGCGCTCAAGCCTCGGCGTCACGACGCAGTCTGAGTACCGAAAATTTCATCATCTCCCACGTCTTGTTACTCTCCCGGACTCCCACATACCCGACCTGCTCGATACCCTCTTATACCCGTTTTATGTCTGGGTATGAATATAGAGATATTCTTCAATATCCTCGTGTAATTAGTGTGGACATTATATAACATGACCTGTTTTCAACATTTTTAGTTGGATTCTACTACCTTGATACATTAGCCATTAGAATTATACTGTATTCTAATTCTAATGCCCTTTTTTTTTTTTTTTTTTTTTTTTTTCCCACCCAATTATTGCAATCAAAAGTATTTTGCTATTTTTCCACTTTGTAGATAAGTTTTACAACCATAAATACCAACACATATATTTTTTTTCCCCTCTTTTTTGTATTTATTCTTGGTAAAAATAAAAATACAACAAATTATTGGTTGACATTCTGGTCTTATAAATGCCTGAATAGTTCTACCATGTCTTCAACGAAAAGTAAGTATTTCTGTGTTTTTTTAGTGCACCAAATTCTTTAACACTTCTTCAAAGTATCATATTTGTGTGCTATCAGACACCTCCTTTGCATGGGTACATTTTTAGTGATTTTTTTTTATTTTTTTATTTGCATCTTGTGCACCTCAAATTCCGTATCAACAAACACAAAAACATCGTTAGAAATAGCAATGATAACTTTATTTTAAGCTATTCAAATGCTATAAGAAAATCTAGTTTGTTGGTCGAAATGTTTTCTTTTTTCCAAGTATGACGAACGTTTTGACAAAAAAATAATCTTAAAATTTTAATCTCTTTTTTATATTTTTTTGATATTCCTATCTTAATAAAAAATTAATTAAAACTGACAATTTTTTTATTCCTCAAATTTTAAAACCACCAAATTATAATTATTCCACTAAGAGATGTTCAATCCCTAGGCATCTTACACTTTGTGTTCACAATTTCATTATTTGGAGGATGATTATTCCTCTCACAAAAATAGGAATTAGCAAAAACTAAACACTTTTTATATACATGTGACCTTTCGTTCAAATAAACAGGATAATTTATTAGGGGAAGGAAACAAGAAAAATAAATAAATAAATAAATAAAAAAACATGAGCAGAAATGAGGTAGATTAAGTGTGTGTTTGTGCATGAGAGCATATCAGACATCTTAAGTAAGTATGTCGGTAAACACATTAAATAAGATCGATTTAGTTTACTCCTTAATTCAAGGTTATTTACAGCTCATAAGCTTACAATACACCGTCCACTGCATTGTGAGCTTGTGAATTTTGGTAACCTTATGACGCTGTGAGCTTCTGCCCCTTTCGTTGCCTCCGCAACAGAAAGCCGCAGCTCACCCACGCCGCGAGCATAACTCACCCTCACAACGTCTCCAAAATTGAAGCACTGAGAAGCTTAAACCTCGACATGGACTATGTTTGCTGTTTATACAGCAAATTTTGCTTCACAAGTTTGGGCGGTAAGAAGCGTTGGAAAGGTACCTAGTGAGCATAACTCACACTGTCATCGAACGGCATCGGGTACTCTGGTTGCGAGATCTGCAAGAGGCGTTGGTAGTCGTACTCACACACCTGGATGCGAAGCAAAGCGATGAAAGGCTTCCGAGGTGCTTGCAAGTAGTCGCACTCCTTTGTCTCAAACTTCTCGGTACCGATTCCAGGAATCTGTATCAAAAGAAACCTCAACTTCTCAAGCTAACCGTGTGGAACATCTAGATTCGGGGGAAAGGTAGAATCGACGGCGAAATCAACGCGGCAAAGAGGAACTATATTTTAAGTTCGCGGTTCAGATTCAGAAGCTGCGTGACCTATGAATTACACTCAGGGACTCTCGCAAAAAACACGAAGAATTTTAAGAGGCAGAGATGGCGGGCATAGGAGCTCCCGACCATGGCCACGGAACTGGAGTGTGCGGTTTTGGGGTCGTTCCAACACATCCACACAGATTCACCAGATACTTTGCTTTTGGAAGCTTATGGTGAGAGGAAGCATGGAGCCCACACTCCGCTTGCTGCATGGCATAGAAAATGGACCCCGTGCAAGGAAAAAAGTTTTATCTGCAATCTGGCACGTTGTTGCGGGAATTCTACAGAGTGACGCCAGCTTCAAACCTTCTATTCGATTGGAGAGAGGTTTTCTTCGATGGTGTAGCAATGACTTTCCCAAGACTCCAGAACTTGAGGGATTGCGTGATTGATCTGATTCTCTGTCCGATTTCTTGTTTTTGAAGGCTCCGTGAACGTGTTGAATTCTTGCAAGATGGAGGACTTCTGAGTGTGTGGCAGTTGTTGTTGCCCTCTATGTTGGGTGTGACAATCTGTAGAAGGATGTATTTGACATTTTGTGCTGGACGAGTTGAAGTCGGGAGCCGTATGCGAAAAGGTGATTCGCAGATTTTGGTCGTTCATGTTTTTGTTGCTGCTTTTGAGAATTTAGGTTCTGGCTGGATTGTCCCATATAACATACTCGTTCTCACATTGGCTTTTGGACTTGTTCATTTGCCGCAATTGTATGTGCAGGCATGCGCGAGCTAGCTATGCTCATGCGCGCAATAAACTCTGAGAAGCGATTTCTGTGTAGTCTGCAATGTCTCAGAATTCTATGATCTGCCTCTCATGAAATCAACCTCCACGTTTGGCTCTATGGCGATTATCCAGAGCTTGCTGGCTGAACGTGCGAGGCCAGTTTTTTCTGAGGCCTCCGCTTCTTTTTCTTTAGACTGTTTAAGGGCGCCACGGCAATGGACACAGAGCGTATCGTTTTTCACCAGAGGAAATTACTTGCAGGGGAGGCATATGGCAAAGAGAATGGTGATCTCACTCAGAAGAAATTCCCTCCTGAACTACGTTTGGTTTGGAGACACGTCCATGATCAAATTCGCCCCTCATGTTATGCGTTCTTATGCAATATCGAAACAATGCAGTAGAGATTGTGATGAGCCTTTGATACACTGTTTAGCATTAAATCTCAGATCTATATTCAGCCTCCCACGTGGGCACGGAGTCGCACAGGATGAAGAGAGTCAGGAATGTGGAGGACATGGTCTACTTCGCTATGCTATTTTCACCTTCGTGGGACTCATGGGAGGACTTAGTATGTTATTTTCTCTTGTTCATGAACCAGCTTTGGCGTTGTCGACTCACGAATTTGTCGATATGAATCTAGAAAGTAATGATGTGACACTCGATCGAGACTCTGAGGCTCAAACGATGGAATCAAGTTCAGTTTTCTTGGGCTGCCCCGCGAGAGGCCGTGCAGCACCTTTGAGCCTTTTGTTGAGGCAAGTTGATTCTTCGAAAGGAAACTTGCTGATGACGAAATCTTTCATGAAGTCAACTTACTTACTGCAGAACATGGCTGCAACACTAAATTTCAGTCGCGGTGAGTTGGATGTCAAACATCTCATGCTCGTGTGTTTCGATTACTAATGTGAACTCTTTGTTCACAGGTATCCGAGAAACTTTAAGGACCACTCCAGCTTCCAGTTTCTGACCCCGGACATAGTTCGAGAGTGGGCGGGCGAGAGCTCAGGGGCTAGTTATGGTCAGATAGTTGCAGCTCGAGAGGATAAAACATCGAAGAAGGATATGTACACACGTGACGCGTGGATGGGCATGCGACGACTGGAGCAATACGGACGTTTGGTGGAGAGCATGGAAGACAAGGAAAAACTCTGTGTGGACTGTGTCCGGAACCGCAGGTAATTGCTCCACACCTATGTAATGCAATTTGTCATGGACACCAATTTGCAGTGAGACAATTGAAGTGCTATATCTGATGTAGAAACCCTAAGTATTATTCTAGAACTGCAGATTTTATGTGCATTCTCTTGGTAGAGCCTAATATGAACGAACTGGCACATTTTTCTTGATCGCAGGCTTCTCGAGCAGGTGTGGCAGACCGTCTCAAATGTACGCCCTCTCAAACACCTCGAATTTCGTAGTTCGCTTTAAATGTTTGCCGATGCGCATGTCTTGCTAGCTGATTGTCTATCGAGTGAGTAGTATCGTTAATTTATGTTATGATACTTACCATCTCGCACGCGGAAACCATAATTCTTTCTTGCTGGAATTAGTGAATTTGATAGTGATATTTTTTTGTGCAGGACTACTATGATCATTATGGCAGGTACTATCATATTCCGCATACAGATTACTTGTATCTGGAATAGTGCTACCTGATTCTCAACGTCAGGAAAACTGATAGCAACATCTATCCTGATATTGCCTTCGGGACGGAGCCAGGGTTTGTGTATGCATTCAACCCTGCGCACATAAATTCATGTCTAGCTTTTCGCCATCAAAAAATGGGTTACCTTTGTTGAACCTGAGTTTCGTCTGAATATTTGGTTGCAGCTTTTCCCAATCACAATGGGCAGGCGAGTTATACCGCACACTATCCAAGGCTGGGGGGCTTCTCGAAACCAAAGCCGAAACGTACTGATCATCTAGTCCTTCTTTTTCATTATTATTGAGGTTAATGTGACGTTCAAGTTCGTTTCTCCTCGTGAAGGTGATCTAATCTCTGGGCTGCTGCGGAAATGTTAGGTATGCAGCAGTTAAAGAAATGGTGTCACACCTTGGTGATAAGTACAGCTCTTTTCTCGTTCCGAATGAGTATCGCCTAGCAATTCATCGCCCTTTGCAGTCTGAAATCAAGTACTTATCCTACCAATACACTGGGATTGGCATGGAGGTAATAACCGCTAGGTCTCTTGGAGTAAGAATTTCGTGCTCCAGTCGCAGATGGTTATGTCTTTTTTTCCCTAATTGTTGCGAGGAATAAAAGCAGCTTTCGATACATCAGACAATTCATACTGGATCCATCTTTCGAGTTTGTGCTCTGGCTCTTGGGAAACAATTGGCCACAAGTAATGAATCACAGGTGTATCGCTCACTATGTTTATGGTTTCGAACTTTTATCCTTCTTTGCTTCTTATATTTATGAGCTTTCGAATTGAAGCTCTATTTACACTACTTGCTGATTTTTGGGATGTCCCTGGCTATTTTTCTCAATGTCTTAGACTTTCACCGTTTGAATTACGTTCCTCGGGGGTATGTTACAGCTAGGAGGTCGGTCTTTAGACGGGAGCTTCACCATTGTGGCTCCATTTGCTGGCTCTCCTGCAGAAGAGGTTAAAAACTCCCTCTCTTTAAGTACATGATAGTGGGGGTGAGGTGTGCTGAATATTAGCACTTCGGCTTTTATAACAGTTTCCAGCATTATGATTGATGTAAATTTTTCCTTTTAAAGAGTATCGCGCTCATATAATTTCTCTAGAAGGTAAGATACCAAAGGTACGTATGCATGTATTAGTTTATTGATGTTTTTATTTTATGAGCAAGGAAGTCAGTTGGTCACAGGATAGAAATGAAATATGAGTAACCTAGCTTTGAAGGGTGGGCTACGCAGGCTGGAATTCTAGGAGGTGAGAAACTTGTGGCAGTTGATAACATGAGAATGGAGTCAGTGAGCCGAGACGAAGCGGTAGCTCTTTTGCGAGGTCCTATCGGCTCAATGGTTTGATTTTGTTCCTTCCCTTATTCAAGAGCGGAAAGTACGTATAAGATTTTATATGGTTTTGACCTGGAAGTATTCATCCATTACTCACCGGTGGGCGTTTCTGTCTTGCAGGTTGAATTGTCAATTGCTGGAGAGGATCCCAAGGTGGAACCGCGAACATTACTAATAGAGCGACGGACTTTGCCCTTACCCCCCTTGCAGAGTCGTATGCTTGATGCGGGGAACGGTCGATTGGTTGCTTATATGCGTCTTCATTACTTCACTCACGAAGGAACCAAGAAAATGGCCTCTGCCATACGAGAAGGAGAAGCACTTGGGGTAGATGGCTACAGTAAGTTCACCACTAACAACCATTACACACGTCTGTGAGATTGACATTGCATCTCGTGTACAACTCGTAAGTCTTCTGACAATCAAGTTGACTCATTTCGTACTGTGTGCAGTCTTGGATCTCCGAAATAACCCGGGAGGTGTCTTCGAGGAAGCAGTTGCAATGGCAGTGAGTCCCACTTAAGTGTGCCATACACATATTCATTATTTAAATCCTGAATCTAGTTTGTTCTAATTTCTCTGCTTTTTTTTTTTTGTGTTGGTTCTTGCTTCAAGTTCAAAACTTCTCATCGGTTTATCCTCTTCGCACATCTTTTTGCAACATATGTTAGTCCGTATGCTGTGCCCCGTTTTGCTGCATTGAAATAGAATTATACCTTTGTTTCTCAATGTTGTCACTTGACACATTCCAGGCTATCATTGTCTCTAGTTGTGTGAGGTATGTAGATTTTTTTCTGTCTCGTAATTAATTTGTATTCCTCTCAGGACATCAGAGAACTCTTGGAATGAATGTGGCAGGCTCTATGGCTCGACTGCAAAGGCTGCAACGTAACTGAAACAGTCCGTAGTAACGAGGCTGACATCGAAGATCTTGTATACACTGTGGGAAATTTGCCGGTTAGTTTCTTGTCGTCTTTCTATCCTTGTATTTGCTTGTCAGTTGCTGCGATGCATCTATTCAAATAAAAAAATTGTGGTTATTCATGTCGTGCAGAAGGATGTGTTTCTGAAGCACCCAGGAGCACTCACGCATGCCCCCTTGACCGTCATTACAAATCGAGACAGCGCTAGTGCCAGTGAGGTAACTTTTAACTCTTTTGTAGATAAAAAAAGGAACAAATAGTTCGTTGTGGACATCTGGAAAATACCTCCAGATAAATATGTTCCTGTTAGCCTCCAATGGAAGCTTCTGATGGAAAGCTCTTGGTGGTTTGTTTCTGGGCAGGTCTTGACTGGAGCGCTTCATGACAACCATCGTGTTATGACTGTAGGTGAACGAACCTTCGGGAAAGGCGTTGTTCAGGTACTAAATTCCACAAATTTGAACCTACTTTCTCGCCTAATTTACTGTGCCATTATTTTTGCTGAAAACACTGGCCATGCAGACCCATCCACTTACTAACATGTTCTCTGATTTGTGTCGGTTTGCTCAGTATTATTTCCCTATGGACGATGGAAGTGGTTTAAAGCTCACTGTGGCGAAGTACCTCACACCAGACCACTATGATATTTCTAAACGGTACTGTAACCTAATCCTATGTTTTATTAGCAATTGCGCTCTTGTGCTTCGTTTCAATTGAAGTTATCCATCTCTCCTCCTGCCCCAAATTTTTATCGATCGCTCTGCTAACGGTCATTTTTTGTATGATTCTGGAGTTGCAGGGGCGGCATAGAGCCTGATAAAGCGTGTCATGACTACCCACATGGGAAAGACTCATTAGACACATGCATTGAAGAAGCTTTGAAGATGTTAGTTGTCAAAGAAGCCCCTGATCATGCATCTTATCCCTCTCCCATGCCCTACCGTTGGCTTCCTCTCTCAAAGAGTTGGGCTAAAGGATCATACTAGAGATCAAAAGAGCCGAGTGATCTGCCAAGTAGAGGAATTAGGTGTGTGTGTTGTGAAACTAGTTGACAAACTCTAAACCATGGAGCATGGTACGTTCTTTAGTGTAAAAAGTTGGAAGGTTGTTCAATCGTTGTTAGATTTTGTATTAAAATTGACTATATAATCTGCAGAGATACTGCAGGGTGACTACTTATGGATGACATTTACATCCTCATTTAGAATGAAGTATTTCCACATCACCATTTCATGCAGGGTGATAACTTTTTGTGTAGGGCGTAAAAATGATGAATGTTTACGGATACACAAAGATGCTTGGCACCTAGTGACGACAATAAGGGGACTTGAATGCTCAGAATATTGTAAATTTCATGGACAAATATTTTGTTCCATTCTCAGGAGGACCCTCATCAACCTTGAGAAGAGACACATCACATATTTCCGCAACTCTCTAGAACCCTTCCAATAGTTTGCTGCCGGCTCTTAAACACTATCAACAAACTTGAACCCTGAAGATTTCCTTTAGGAATCAAATAAAAAAATCAGCCATTCTAAAGTCTTTATATCTAGAAGCAATCTTGGAAAGTCGAAAGAACATGATCCAAAAGTTTTATGTAAGTCCCCGATTCATGAAGAATTCGTTGTCTTTAGCAAACCATTCCAACGAGATGAAATCCATTGATTAATGGAAAACCCCTCCAACCATGAAATATATTGTTTTCAAATATTGCAAAGGATATTGATCACGGAATTCCTGCTTCGGTGGTTGCTTGCGGGATCCAGGGACACAAGTGAACAACGCACTGGATGGCGATAAACAGAAAATCAGCAAGGATTCACAAAACCGACCCACAAATTCGGCTGCATCTGCACAGGACTAGAGATCTCCGAATGTGCGATTCGTTGCCGAATGTCAGCCAAGCTCAGTAACTACGAGGTCAAGCCTTGACGCCACTTGCCAGTGACTCAGATGCCGGGATTTTCATGACTGGATGTTACGCAAATTGCTTCGAGACGACAGTTACGGAGTGAGAAACATCCCCACGAGGTGCGGTACTGCCCCAGGGGGTCGTCGTGGAATCCTTGTCACGCAGCTGACCTGCTCCCAGAGATTCAGAGAAAGTTTCGCTCGTTTCCTGCTTGCAGAAGAAGAAGAAGTCCTTTCCGAATGTGTACAATAGTGGGGGGGGGGGGGGGGGGGGGGGGGGGACGGGCTTCATTCTTCTCGGTGTGGTCCCGTTGCCGTCAGCCTTTTTTCTGACCTGCGGGGAGCCTCCTGGTCGCCACTGTTGTTGCTGCTGCGCAGGTTTGTACTCTGCTCGATGACGTTGATGTGGGTTTTGTCGTTTGCGTTTTGTGACGCTGTGGACGTTTGTTGATTTTTGGTTTGTTAGCGGGTGTACTTGTAGATGGATTGTGTGTTTCAAGCTTTTTGTGCGTTCTAATGCTGGGCTACTTTGGATATCATTGTTGCGTGGGATTGTCGGGGTGGAGAGCTCGATCTGCAGTTGGTTTCGCCGTCTCTTATACTTAATCGTTCTGCATTTGTTGCCTTCGTTTGGATACTGTATTGTGCTGCTGTAGCTCTGTCTGTAGTTACTTGGTAATATTGTCCATGGTATTGTCGGTTCTCGGCATTCGTTTTGGCAGTTGCACCCTTCTCCTATTTGTGTGTGTATGTGTGTGTGTTTTTTAAAGGGTGTCGGTTTCGAATAGTTTTAGTTCTTATTTGGTTAGGTTTTGTGGAGATATATTAGGTTCTACCAGTATAAGAATACTATGGGTTCTCATATCTTCTTTCTGTAAGCATTCTCTAACTACTGTACTCCATAGTATAGCGGTTGTAGTCCTTGGCTTCTTCTCTACACTTGTTGCTGCTATGCTTGTTTTTGTAGCTTCACTGCTGAGATGCGATTGCGTAGCCATTCAGGAGGAGCTATCGGTTTCTTGTTGACTTCTCTGTTCTTGGAATGTGCCAGCGAGTATTTGTTTTACGTTAGATTCAATGTTAACCGTTCTGATCTTTGAATTTAAGCTACGTGCTTCTGTTTTTATTGCAGTTAGTACTAGTTGACACACCATGGGTGAGGAAGCAGTTAATTACAGCGTGGCCGAATGGGGCAACCAATCTCTGGCGTGTACTGACGAGGAGATTTACAATTTAATCGAGCGCGAGAAGGTGCGCCAGTGCAGGGGCATCGAACTTATTGCTTCTGAGAATTTCACATCTCAGGCTGTGATCGAAGCCTTGGGTTCCCCCCTCACTAACAAGTACTCGGAAGGACTTCCTGGAGCCAGGTACTACGGAGGAAATGAATTCATCGACCAGATCGAGAATTTGTGCAAGGCCAGGGCATTGAAGGCCTTCCACTTGGACAGTGAGAAGTGGGGAGTGAATGTGTAGCCTTACTCGGGCTCCCCTGCTAATTTCGCCGTGTATACTGCCCTTCTAAATCCTCATGACCGTATCATGGGTCTCGACCTACCATCGGGTGGGCACTTGACTCACGGATACTACACATCCGGCGGAAAGAAGATATTTGCAACCTCGATCTACTTCGAAAGTCTACCCTACAAAGTGAACTACGATACGGGCTTCATTGACTAAGAAAAATTGGAGGAGAAAGCCATGGATTTCCGTCCCAAGATGATCATCTCCGGAGGAAGTGCGTACCCGAGGGACTGGGACTACGCAAGGCTGAGGACAATTGCTGACAAGGTGGGAGCCCTGCTGATGTGTGACATGGCTTACTTCAGTGGTCTTGTGGCAGCCCAGGAAGTGAACCAGCCATTCGATTTCTGTGACGTGGTGACCACCACAACCCATAAGAGTCTGAGGGGACCTCGTGCCGGTATGATCTTCTTCAGGAAGGGGCCGAAGCCAGCGAGAAAAGGGCAGCCAGAGGGTGCTGTCTACGACTACGAAGACAAGATTAACTTCTCAGTATTTCCTTCCTTGCAGGGAGGACCACACAACCACCAGATTGCCGCATTGGGGGTGGCTTTGAAACAGGTGGATACTCCCTTGTTCAAGGCTTACGCGAAGCAGGTGAAGGCCAATGCAAAGGCTATCGGTGATGCGTTGATGAAGAAGGGCTTTAAGATGGTGACTGACGGAACAGAGAACCACTTGGTTCTGTGGGATCTGCGACCTCTCGGACTCACCGGTAACAAGGTGGAGAAAGTATGTGAGCTTGCTCACATTACATTAAACAAGAATTCCATGTTCGGTGACAGCAGTGATTTGGCCCCTGGAGGTGTACGAATTGGTGAGTGATTGGTTCACCCGTGATCAATGCATTCATCTTGATTCTTTTCTTATTAGCTCGTGTCTAAGTTGCATTTTGGTGGTTCTATTTAGCTACTGCTTTAGAGTAGAATTCATCACTAGATACCTGGAAAGGTACCTTCTTTTTTCTTTACATCTCAATGATGAATGTGTTGCAGTTTCCTGATTTTTTGCAATCACACCTGTTTCAAAGCCATGCGTGCTGCAGTTTCCTGATTTTTTAAACTGTTACTATAACCTGGTGCTTTTGGAATGATCAGGTGCACCCGCTATGACCTCTCGAGGGCTGAAGGAGAAGGACTTCGAGAAGATTGCTGACTTTCTGGAACGTGCTGTGAATATCACGCTGAAGGTGCAGAAGGAGAGAGGCAAGTTGTTGAAGGAATTCAACAGAGGAGTGGAGAACAACGAGGAGATTGCAGTGCTGAAGAAAGACGTGGAAAAGTTCTCCATGACTTTTGACATGCCTGGGTTTGATGTGATCAACCTCAAGTATGGCAAGGAATGGGGAATCGATCAGCATAGATGCTGGTGATCAGTTACCGTGGTCATAGATTAGAAATCTGGGACCCCACCTCGTTCTTGGAGCTACGAATGGCTGACTTTTGAACAGTTAGTGTATGTTAGTGATCAGAGGTCTTAGTGCACACATCTCTTTTTTCAATACATGCCTGAGGAGTGCAATCTGCTCCGTCCCTTTCTAGGTCTCTCTCAATTTTGTAATGTGTGCTTGGAACGACGTTTACCATTTAATCCATGTTTGAGGTATGATTCTTCTGAATATTCGTCAACGTCGTTCTCCAATCTCAGCACTAGCGAGCCCCACATTTAAAGACAAGGAGAACCTGAACGAGAATGACTTGCAGTTAAGTCGGTGAATTAATACCAATTTTGTATAATGCACAGCTCAGACGAATCCGTGCGGGCGTTGTTTTGATCTAAGGTGCAACAGGTTAGCTCGGAAACAGAGACTTGCGTCGTCCTTAGTATCCATAACTATGTGGTAATAATGGTTTGGTAAAAGACATTCACGACAGGGAAAGGTTCAACACCCCTCTCTCAGTTTAGAATGATGTTATACTGTCACAGCTGAATTTCCACATGGGAATCCTGGAGACCAATTTTATATTTTCAGAAATTTAGGTTGTGTTTACAGAAGGGGCACATAGGATGCTTTGGGGGACACATGGTATGGAGTAAAGAAAAACGTGATGAGCAAAATGTATTCAACAGAGGGTTGTTTTAAAATTAGTCATAGAACAGGAAATATTCATTCCGCAGAACGGGTCAGCTCGCATTCTAATGTCAATAGGGATGGCTGCCGAGTAGCTGCCTCGGATTTTTGTGAGCAGCTCACTGACATGCTACCAATACGTGGGTTGCCTTGAAACATCGGCAATTGGGGTTCAAGATTAAGAATTTAGGGTTTTAACTAATGAAAACGAAATTATTTGTGTGCAGTTAGGCAGAAATTGATATTAGTTTTTCTTGATACAGTCATTTGGGTTTTCGATTCATCCAGTACCAAATTCCGGCTGGGTAACCTCAAAAGATATGAAGATGAGTGACAAAATGAGATGGTAGTTTGTATTATAGTATTTCTTTGTATATCTTTTTGAATATGTTTTTTGAATGGGTGACTCTAAAAACTGTGAATGAAATATGTTTCTTGTTACAATTACAATCAATGTTATTCAATTATTAAATAACACTAGTTATTATAAATAAATAAATAAATAAATAAATAATACATGCAAACAAGATCTGATCATCCACTGCACAATATAATATGGCTTGTTTTCAGTTCTTATTTTTATTTTTATTTTATTTTTAAAACTGTAAGAAAAAAGAATAATAATTGCTTACCTACATTTAGGCAAAACATTTAAAAATATTATCTCATAAACTCTTAATGCCATATTATTATTATTGTTGTTCTTAGTATGTGTCTCAATAATATGGACGAGTCAAATTATATGATTAGAAGTATTCTGCTTGTAAGTACATATTTAAACTAATTATTATTATTTTTATTCCAATGTGTTTCCTTATCAAAGGTAATTTTATCCATGTAAGTGAAGTGAGCATAAAAATATACATACACATATATTAAAAAATCATCCTTATATATCTTATTTTAGAATTTAGAAAAATCAATTTTAAAAAGAAATAAAGATTTTTGGAATTTTAAGTTTAATTCATCAAGTTTTAGGAGATCAAGTGTTGTCTAGTATAAACCAAAGTAATTAAAACACAGTTTGGATTAGAATAAACTACTTTAGTTAAAAACATTGTAGCCTTTTTTAAAAACTTTAGTATACATTTTATTAGAAGTATTTAATAGAATGATTAATCATTTTATACAATATTATTAGAAGATATATTCCTCTTCTTTATATATTCATCTTTATTTAACATTTTCTTAATCATTTAAATATAATCTTTGTCTATAATGCTCCAATTTGTTTTTAAAGAATTCAACTCTTAACTCATCTAGGCCTAGAACTTTTCTTATTTTTATTCCATCAATTACATCTTTTAGTTTGAAATTATGAAGATAAATCCATCCATAATTTATATATGTAATAACATTGTTAAATACAACACTTAATAAGGAGTTAGAGGCTTCCATTTTAATTTTTTAATTTTTTTATGACATTAACTATCTTTTATGAATCATAGGATAAAAATTTTAACAATTTTTTTCTAGAGCTTTAGTATTTCTTATTTAGACGTCATTATTAATTTATAGTTTTATGTATCTATGTTGAAGATATTTGACTTTTAGGGCATTAAAAGTTTTCTTAGTGATGCTATTACCGGGTATTTTTTACCTAATATATGCTTTAACTCTTTGTTCCTTTAGTTTTGACTCTTTATATTGTAATGGTTAAGCTTAAGCTCCTTTGAAGGCAGCTTGGAATAATAAAACTTAAGAATTAGAGTCTAGTTTATACTAAACATTTTACATTGTTCTTTGAAGTTTGGATTGATATCTTGATTTTGTAAATTCTTGTTCTCTACAAAAAGCATTATAAAAACCTAATATGAATCTGCAATCCATTTTAAATGAATCTCTTTTTACATGCATTGGTCCATACTTTTAAGACTTGTTATAATTAATTAGATTTAACAAAATTAAAATTAAAATAAACATCTTATTGTTGGACATCTTACATTTGGATTTTTAGATGTGAATGATAATTTCAACTAGAAGATAGTTTAAGAATATTGTATCTCTTTTAATTCTTTTTTTATTTGATTTATTTTATTTTAAATACATTTTTTATTGATAAAAAATCTATGTAGTTTAGATGAGACTTAAATTCCATCTCTTTTATTATTCTATAAAATTCAAGGTTAATCTTTAGTTTGAAGTAGTCTTCTAATAGAAGTCTAAATACTAGAAGATTATATATATATATATATATATATATATAGATACATCAATACATTTCTATCTATATCTAATATCTTTCTACAAAACATGACTCTATTTGGTTTGTTTTCAATCATATTAGTATGATGATTGAAATATAGTGGCATAACTTAAGAATCTTAGATAGACTATTTAATCTACAAGCATTATACAACATAATCTTAATTTTATAAGAAAGAATATTGTTAAGTAGCTTCTTCAAATATCAAATACCTATCACTTGTCTATACATTTTTTGTGTAATACTAAATAAAATTTCTTATATATATATATATATATATATATATATGTATGTATTTTTAAGTCTCAATATTCTATTATAAAAATCATTGAATTTAGTCTATAGATTCTTGTTGCCTCTCAAAAAAAATTCACAATTTATTAGTAACTTACTATGATGTATTATAAAAAACAATCCTCTCTTATCCCAATCCCATTTCATTTTCTATCAAAATCTAAGGTTGCTTTTAAGATATTCAAACTTCAAGTCATGATACTTTTCTACAATCTTGTAAATTTGTATTGCAATGCTAGTGTTTTGGTATTAGAAACAATATCCTCTTTAGGACTAATACATTTAAAATAACAATATACTTTTAGAATTTTGTGATGATTATCTAATCTATCTAAATATATAATCATCTCAAAATTTGTGATGATTATATATTTAGATAGATTATAAAAAAGGCTAAATAAAAAACTAACCAATAAATACACATATAATATATATATTTTTTATATTTATGTGTAATTGTATCTATTCATGTTTTTTATAATTTATCGTAGTCAAACTAATTAGAAATTTCATTAATTTAATCCTTTGTATTTTAACTTTTATTTTTTAAAATTTAAATGAACATAGCTATTATATTCCATTCCTTACAAGAAATGTAATAAGATATATATATATATATATATATTAAATTTTATTTAAAAAATATTTAAAGTTCAAAGTCATAAATAAAAGATAATAAAAAAATGTTCATTTTAACATTGTATAAAGTTTGTTTTTCTAACAACATTAGATATCTATTTAATGATTCATAAATTTATGGATCTTTTATTACAAAATTTGTAGAATGAATTGTTTGTAATTCCTCTATAGATTTACAGTCAATATATTGGCATTTTAATTTGTATTCTTGTATAATCAAAATAGATGGATATAATCATAAATTGAATTGCTATTCTACAATTTTATTTACACATTGGTTATAATTTAAACTATACATACAAATCAATAAATAATTACTCAAAATTCAATGATGAAAGACAAACCAATGATATGGTTGTGACACTCAACAAACAGCTTTTTTTTTTTTTTTTTTTTTCACTTTTCACTTTTCACTTTCAAAGGGTGTCTGAAAGTGGTAATTTTTTTGATATCTACTGGAAGTAAAAGTCTCATGAAACTCATATCAAGTTGCGACTACTTCGTTGTTAATGCTAATTCTTCGAAGCTAGAACTTGTTTCTTTCTTTTTCCATGATGAACAACACCGCAAATACAAGAATCTTTAATTAGTCATTGCGTTTATGGTACTGAGATAAACAATTAGATACAGTGTTGGTATGTGATTACGAATCTTGTGGATTGTTATTTAGTCTTAAAGCTGAAGAGCAAAGCAAACACAAAATCTTTGATAAAAAAAGGTTCAACAAACGAAGGGGAACTGACTTTCAAGTGTTTAATACAAGCACATGACAAGAAAAAAAATTTGTGCACACGTAGTCTTTGAAAAAGCCCTTAGTTTTTATGTTTGAGGAATGTTGAAAGACAAAAAAAAACTGGAAAATTCAGAGGCTGCCACATAGATATGCTCCTCTCCAAATTTCTGTTAAACTGGGCACTGTTCGACGCTAAGCTGCAACAACAACAGATGCATTAACGAGCAAATTGATGTAACAAGACCAGAAAGTGGGCTGATTACGAGAATTGTCGAGTTGTTTTTAGTATTATCCTCAATTAAAAGGATAAGATTGGAGATAGGATTATAAAATCCTATCCTACGTTGGATTACTATCTTTCAAACGTTCAGGCACAGGTGGAAACGAATGTTATGCAGAGGCACTTCACAGAGAAATGTGTGAACCAAAAAGACTGCAGATGAGGAATAGGCAAACGCCCTTCTCCATCTCAGGCCCCCTCTACCATTCAATACATCGATGGAACACCTTCACAGCAGCATGCATGATGATTTCAGATCCATCATTTAGGGTAAAGAAGAGCAATTAAATTTGCTTAATTAGATAAGTCCAGAATAATTGTAAGGACATCAGCGAGGGTACCCAGTAGCTGCATTCTCCACGGTGTGAATGGTATGTCAATCATCTCAGAAATCGAGAATAGATGGTCGTCACGATACAAATGGTTTTTCAGATGATGAGCATCCAAATCACTGCAAGATTCACTCCAAAAGCTTTTCATGCCACGAAACATCCAGTGAGAAGTTACTAATCAATGATGACAATCGTTTTCTACATACAGAAGACGGTGAAGAGGACCTGAAACCCAGGGGCAACCGAACGAAATTCACAGTTCGACTAAAAAAGAGTCCACAATTCACACGGAGAGTAATCACAGGGATGGGCAGATCATAGCAGTGCAAGGACTCAGCATGACCATGCTCCTAGATAAAAAGGAGAAAGACGATTAAATCATGCCCAAAAAATGGATATGCTAAGCAAAATATATTACCTCAAATTTGATTCGATTTCTTGCAAGAGGCTCCATAAATCTGGTCAGTACTGACAAGGCAGTCCAAGCAAGCATTCTTCACTCCACGGCTGCATGTTCATCTATCTCCTTCACTGAGACTTGGAATAGAGCGCCTATGAATTCCCTCTCAAAAGGCAACCATACTGCACAAAATTCCTTCCATACAGTCAACAAGTGGAAGGGGGTGTAAAATGGACCAGTGTGGATACACTTGCTTTTTACTCTCAAAAACTGGATAAACTTCGTTGGATGGAGGTCAATAGTGTACTACACCTCCCATTTCCCAAGTGGGTTCATCCTAAGGGCTGACTACCGCTGATCTTATTCTCATACACTTCTCAAATAAGACCTTGCTCTTATCATTAGCGAAGAAATGAAATCCAATAGAGTGGCTCGATATCTTAGATTTTTTTCTTAAAAAAAATAAGCTTTCCCTTCAATAGCAGCCATTGCGGAAGCGAACCTCAGAGGTATGCCATAATCATCTTAAAATCTATCTCATTAGAAAACTGTGCGAATGCTGTACACTACCAACATTCGATGGCTTTAAGTGCATCCCTTTGTTGAATAGGCCCCGTTTTAATTAAGCGTTTGACACACTAGCACATCCTATTATCAATGTACACATGTCCTGGTATCAATGTTGATGATCCTTCACCCAAAATGCATCGTCTTGTTTGGAGCTTGCTGCGAATAGCTCCCTATCTTTTGCACCTTCAGTTTCCCTTGCGCAGCGCCCATATCCTTGTGCCTCTTGCTTGCTAGGTGACCTCTTTCGAAGTTCCCCAGGCTGTAACCAGGCTTAGGGATTCCATAATGCCTGTCGCAGCCTCCACAGTAAACTCTGTAACCATGAACATCGTCATGCACTATGGAGAACTTTCCATGAATGGCTTCTGGATACTCCGCCTGTATGAGCTTCAATTTTGAACACAATTTCGTGTAGAGCGGTGTTTCTCTGTACAGGGGGATGCTATCATTAACTCTAATTTCGTCTCTTTCCGGCTTGATTGAAGCTGGTTGCAAAAACACAGGCGGCTGCTCTTCCAATCTGTTAGACCTAAAGACTCTCAGCAAATCCTCTTGAGAAGTTCCGCTGTTAACCTCCACGCCTGGATTGGAGTCTAGATTGTCTCCCACAGACTCAGCAGGGGAAGCCTCGAAGCTCATCTTGCATCTCTTTAAACCTGGTTCCAAATCTATGACTTCATGATTCTCTAAACGGTACTTCGAATCACCAAGGTTAAGCTTCACATGGAAGCTCATGTGACAGCCACACGCCCCACAGAGCACGTCGTTCGGATTCTCCCCATCGAAAAGCTGGCATCCGTCGAAGCCGGGTCCCAAGTGCGCGTGCATCTTGGTGCACTTGCCCCGGTTCCTTGAATTTATCATGGCTTGATCTAAGTGGAACGCAGTTCCCATTATCTAGACATCAACCCAGATGCGAACGAGGAATACTCAGGAGAAAATCTCAATGTCTGCATGATTGGACTTAAAGAATTCTCTTCCACTTGTGTTGAAAGATAACTATCTACCAATTGAATCTTCAGGGTAGGATACCAAACAAAACAAAATGGTTTCGGAAACTGGAGGCGGAAGGAAACAAACCTCTAGATCCGCGAGTCTGAGGTCACCAGCATTCGGATGTGGGTTCCTCCTTCAACGGATCGGCGTAGGATAGAATGTCATTCACCTCCTCCATCGGCACCCATTTGGGCTTTCCCCATGTATTGGCTCCTCAAAGCCACCACACGCCAGAGAGGTCAGAACCCCATCAGAAGTCAAGTAAGATTCGTGTCGAGTTGTGAGATTACACAACCTGACAGCGCCGCTCGAAAAGGATTCCAGAGGCTTCGGAATGGAGTTCCTCGGATCCAGAGAGCCGCAGCTTGCGTCAAAATCACTTCAGATGCAAGCATCACTTGAGGTTCTCCATTTCAATGACCTTCGAAATCTAAGTTTCTAGCACCAGAAGAATTCAGACAAGAAGGCTTCACCTGATTCCTCCAAAATCGCAAGATTACTCCGAATTCCAACAGGTTGGGCACTTCAAAAGCAAGACGAGTAGGACAGACCTCGCAAACTTCAAACGAGTCTGTGCAACTACTCAAGGAGCGGGGAATTCCTGCACGACTTGAGACCAATCTATCTGCCAGACTGCAAATCAAACACTCCCCTGGTGCTACAAGGCAAGGAAACCACAAATCAACCGGAGTGTGGTGATGTCTACTCTCAAGATTTGAGAGAGAAGGCACAAGACGTGTAGGTGGCTCTCGCAGGAGGGGAAGAGGGTAGGCGCTAATGGAGGAGGAAGAAAAAGCATGCCAGCCCTAGAATTCCAGATCCAGAACACCTGTTACACGGATTCCTTCATAATATCACACAAGACATCGGAATGCTATTTCGAGGTTCGTCAGGCTCTTTTTCAAACGCCCACTGTCGTCTCTTGTGTAAAATATATTCAATTCATCACAGTACCGATACATACTGGTACATTATTCATAGTTTCAAGGTGATAAGGTTTTCACTCATCTTATCTCAACACCCACAGTTATTTCTAGCTGCTCCAAATTCGTTCATCTTTTTCGCTAGTTTTTCAGTCGCAACGAGGTGAGATTTTGGCATCGTATCCGAGTGATCTGGAGGAGGTAAAATCCACAGCTCGTTCCTGAAAATGTGGGCAAGCAGTTCACGAGAAACCTGCAAGGCAATGATGTCGTTTCGAAGTGTTTCACTCTGCCGAGAATGCATTCATCTCGCCGAATATCCATCCCTCCTGATTAGATGGGCATTCATCTGATGTAAAAATTCACTAATAGACGGGAATCTAGGTCAGGGCTCCAGGATTTGAAGGGCTGCTGGATTTGTCTTCCGATTCAACCAAGAGCGACTACGAGGACAAGGTAGATCAGACTCAAACCGATTCATCGAGTATCAGAAATGTCAAACAGAAAAAGACCCTGCAACATCTCGGCGATTCCACAAAAGCCAGACGTGGATATTGTGCCTAAAACGAGAACTGTATCTACAACGTGCGAATTGAAACATGAAAATCGTTGTGGTGGGTGAGAGGAACAGCCCGAAAATCCGCTAGGTTTCCAATGACGGTAGAACTAGGGTCCCATCCCGATCCAAACAAAATCCAATGACGGCCATCAGAAGGTGCAGATTCGAATGCACGATAACACGGCACTGGTTCGCACCCATAAAAACGTCCACATACAACAATAACAACAACGTACAAACAAACAAACCAAAAAAAAAAAAAAAAAAAAAAAAAAAACAAAACAAACAAACAAAAAAAAAACACTGGCTTAGCTTAATAAGCTAGAAGCTACAGATTGCTTTGAACTTCGAAACTCCGATTTAGAGTTATGCGAAGCAAAGTATACAACAGTCTCAATAATGGCTAAGAAATGGGAATGGGATGCGTTTTGTTGTAATCCCGAAGTTGATTTCACAACCTGAAAGAAAGCATATGCCATCACAAACACATGATATCTCCCCTGCTAATACAGTCTTCTTGATGCGAGATCCGAGGCAAATACACCTTCACGTAAGCGCAGATGACTAAAGAAACGATGCGATCACTTCTCTCTGGCAGGCCCCCTCCCCCAACTCTTCTGCAAAAATGAAAATTGAAGCCATTGACACCATCAGCACACATAGCTTCTGATATGGTTCGTGCTGCTTACAGTACACGTCACCACCGTAGTTTGAACTGGGAACAATTCTACCTATCCAGGTACTGAATCGTAAGAGCACAGTCAGTAGAATGAAATAAATAACAGTTCAGCAACCTCAATACACACTTTCAACTTTGCAACCGCTGATGATACACTCGATGCAAGAAGACTTCCACTCTTCTACAGCTGATTGAGCTAAGAGAGTTTTTCATGAGACTAGTTAAAATAAACGAATTCGACTCAAACACTCATAAAATTTTGTGATTAGTGACAAATGCTATTATTTACCTTCATATCAATCCGCACTTGGGGCATTGTTTCCACAACTACGACTGTGCATGCTCGCCTGAAACAGCAATGCCCATCCTTAAGTCTCCGCATTAAAGAACGACACAAAATTCTAAGAGATAAGATATTCTCGAAGAAAATACTTAAAATCTTGCTGTATTCTACCAGGATTACCTGAACAACCTAGGCCATTTAACTTCCAACTTAGAATTAGAATACTCCTAGCAGGTCGCAGATACACTCAGCCGACTATTTTGCAAAACCTAAAAACCTAAAAACCATCAGACATTTGAAAGCTTGTAAACCCAGAGGGCCACGACTATGAAGCAAGTAACTTGACAAACCCAGGAAGAAAAACAGCGAATAGAGCTTTACTTGAGAGCAGCTTCATGATCAACGTTGTGGCCAATTCCTTATTCGTTACCCAAAGCTTTCGTACAGCAACACAAGGCCACGCACTACATCCGAACACACAAGTGCGGAATTCAAATTCTCAACAACACAAGGCCACGCACTACATCCGAACACACAAGTGCGGAATTCAAATTCTCAACAACCGTGTATCCTAGGAATCACTCAACCATTCATCATAACATTCATGCCTAAATCTATTCAATTTTTTTTAAACAACAAAATCAAAAACGAACATCTGTGAAGTGCGACAATTGCCTTTTTTGAATTCCAATTTGAGAACCACACAAGTGGACCTCAACGTCACTATTATTCAATAACAACACCAACATCTCTTCAACACATACATTCGGAAGTACAGAATATGCAAATTGATGCAGTACGTTTCAAAGCTCTTACTGAACAAGAAAAGACTCATCGTCGTCAAGAAGGATTATGTTTATATTGTGGAGAACCAAAATACACTGCTCAATATTGTCCAAAGAAACGACGCAACCACAAAATGAGGAGTATGGCTGTCAAAGAAGACAATATGTTGGAAAACGACTTTGTCCAGCTACAATAGGGACAATGCAGTTGGAACCTTACACAACATCTAGTAAAGGTCCTATTCTTTCCTCAAAACCCTCTCCTTGTTTTACATTAAATGTTATTTTAGGACCTAAACATTACAAAGCCTGTGCCTTGTTAGATTCAAGAGCCTCAACGTGTTTCTTAGATGAAGAATTTACTAAAAGACATAGCATATCTTTAGTAAAGAAAATTAAACCTGTTCATATAGAAGTCATAGATGGTCGTCCATTTTCTTCTAGAGATATTACTCACGAAACCCTTCTTACAGAAGTAATAATCAATGGTCATAATAGCTTTATAGTATTTAATATCATTAGATCTCCCTCTAATCCAATCATTTTAGGTTTATTGTGGTTAAAAAAAATACAACCCTCAAATAGATTGGATTTTTCGAACTCTTACTTTCTCTTAAAGTGTAACTACCAGTGTAATTGATCAAGTAGAGAGTCATAAGTCTAGTTCAATTAAACCCGTGTTTATAGATACAAAAGCTTTCTTGCATGCTGCTATGAAAGAATCACCATATATTATTTATGCTACACCCGTTTCTAATGATGTTAAGACTTTACGTGGTATTCCAAGCCAATATTAAGAATTTCAAGATGAATTTGAAAAAAAAATGTGGATACACTCCCAGAACATCGTCCCTATGATTATTCAATTGACCTTCAAGAAGGAGCACAACTGCCATTTGGACCAATCTACAGTTTATCACAAAATGAGTTGGCTGAACTCAAGGAGTATATTGAAGAAAATCTAGCCAAGAATTTCATACGCCATTCTAAATCTCCGGCAGCAGCTCCAATTCTATTTGTGAAGAAAAAAGATGGATCATTGCAGATGTGTATTGATTATCGAGGATTCAACAAGATTACCATCAAGAACAGGTATCCACTACCTTTAATATCTGGACTTCTTGATTAGTTGAATCAAGTTAAGATCTATACAAAAATAGATCTCCGGGGAGCATACAATCTAGTACATATCAAAGAAAGAGATGAATGGAAGATTGCATTTCGAACTAGGTATGGACATTTTGAATACAACGTCATACCTTTTGGACTTACAAATGCACTAGCAGCTTTTCAACATCTAATGAATGATGTTTTTCGAGAGTTTTTGGACGATTTTGTGGTTTGTTATCTAGATGACATCTTGATCTATTCTAAGAATCCAGAAGAATATAAACTTCATGTTCGTCATGTGTTACAAAAATTAAGAGATGTGGGACTCTATGCCAAAATAGAAAAAGTTTGTATTCCACACTACTCAAGTCGATTTCTTACGTTACATCATTTCAAATGATGGACTTATGATGGATCTTAAGAAAGTTCAAACTATTATAGATTAGAAGATCCAAAAAACGGTAAGAGATGTCCAATACTTTTTGGGATTTGCCAACTACTATTAGATCTTCATCAAAGACTTCTCTTGAGTTGTAGCTCCACTTACACGTTTGACTTATAAAGACAAATTCCAATGGAATCAAGAAGCAAAAGTTGCTTTTGAATCTTTGAAGACAACGTTTGTTTTTGCACCAATCTTGTATCATGTTGATTTTTCCAAAGCGTTCTTTATGGAAACAGATGCATCAAATTTTGCTCTGGGTGTGGTTTTGTCACAAATGGGAACAGATGACAAACTTCATCCAGTAGCCTTTCATTCAAGAAAATTCTCAGGAGCAGAAATCAATTATGAGATCCATGAAAAAAAACTTCTTGCAATTGTAGATTCTTTTCAAAAATGGCATCATTATCTAGAAGGTGCTTCCATTTTCGTCACCGTATATATGGATCACAAGAACCTCAAGTATTTTATATCAGCATGCATATTAAATCATCTTCAAGCTCGTTGGAGCATGTCTTTATCAAGATTCGAGTTCTTTATCACTTATCGGCCAAAAAAACACCAAGGTTTGTCTGATGCCTTGTCTAGACATTCTTATCTTGTACCAAAAGAAGGAGATGTAGCTTTTGAGCAACAAAGAACAATTCTCTTGAAGCTGAAGCAATTTCATTTTCGAGCAATAAAATCAACATTGATTGTTGATTTAACTTTTTTCAAGCAAGTCTAGTTAAGTATGTCTTCAAATCCTCTTATTCATAATATCAAGAATAATTCTTCTAGATCTCATGATCCCTCTAAATTCGAGTTCAAGAACAATCTACTCTATTTCAAAGGACGCCTATATATTCCAGAAGGAGAAGCACGTTTACGTTTTCTTCAAGCTTGTCACGACTTTCCAGCAGCAGGACATTTTGGATACAATAAGACTTTGGAGCTGATATCTAGGAATTTTTAGTGGCCTCAAATGTGGAAGGTAGTCAAAGATTTTGTACAATCATGTGATGTTTGCTCAAGATCAAAAACTCCTCGTCATCGACCTTTTGGACTTTTTCAGCCATAACCCATTCTAGAACAACCATGGTCTTCTGTTTCTATAGACTTCATCATGGATCTTCCAATCTCAGGTTCTTATGAGTCTATAA